AACAGCATCCAGAACATTGATTTCTTTTGTCAGAGAAGTGTTGTCAGTGCAATTATCGATCTTTGTAATGACATATGTGCTTCCTGTACCTGGCTTTGAAGGTACAAATAATCCCAAAAATTTATATCTGAAGCTTAGACGTAGTGTTCGGTGGGGAAAATTTAACCGTCACGTTACTCAATGATACTGAATCAGAGTGCGATGTTGCTTGTCAAGAAACAATAAAATGTTTCGTGATTTCATTTTTTACACATCTGTTGTATCCCTTCGGTTAAGATGTACTCAGTCATCCCCGCTTCTGTAATTGATTGTCAAATGACAGGCAAATTGTCTACAATTTCTCCATACATATCCTAATACGAGGTCAAAGATTATTAAATGAGACGGTCTTATGTAAACTTGGTTTTCGGAGTATTTGGTATGGAGAATAGATGTTTTAACTTGACTGTATACTCGTTTATATTTCAGAAATCAGGTATTTCCAAAATGCTATTTCTGATCACTACGAGTTCTGGAATGAAAAAAGATTTTTTTTATCGGAATAAGATTACGTTATACGCAATAAGAACGAATTTTTAGTTACAAAGATATGAAAGGCGATACACTATCTGACGTTGTCCATCTTATCTACTGAAAAATTACGGATTGTCACGACTTTTACGAAGGTAAATGTATTGAAATTATGTCTTCATTTGTATAAGTAATCAATGATTTTTCTGTTTTTTGTTTTGACAACTTTTGATGTTAAATATCAATTTATTGCAGGTTTACTGGTGTAATTACGTGTTCAAGTTTCGTCACAAATTGACATTTGATATTAGAATTATGTTTACATGTTATTATTCACTGAATTCGTGAATAATGATGGTCAAAGAATGTAGCAATAGATCACTTAAGCTATTCAAAGGTTTGTTTTGCTGTACAAATAAGGAAGTGTGGTACTTCTTTTTATTTCCCAATGATTTTAACTATCAAAAAGTTTAGTATAGAAGGGACTCTAGTTGTCCTAAGTGCAACTAGTGCAATATAATTGGTTATTTGTAACCATCTTGATATTATCGGTTCTATCTTCAAGTTATAATGGTGTTTTTGTTTTATTGAAATTCATTTTTTGCTATATTCTTTTTTTTAATGAAGTTTATCTTTTACTGTAAGACAGAATATCGCATATAGTATTCGCATACCAAATATATTGTGATTTTAATTTATAACGTTGTTGTTAAATAAGTCATTCATTCCAAAAAAGTTGCAAAAAGATTAATAAAAATAAATTTATATATATTCACATGAAGGGGACGACTCACAATTTACCATACCAACATCGCAAATTAATCAATAAAACATAGTTATAAAATCTCACCCACTTATCAAGTTAATTGACACTTCGAACGAAGTAGAAATCGGAGTAATATCAAAAGATCAGTACTACACGCGCACAGACAAACACCAATATCTTTCTGCCTATAGTCGTCATCGTTTATATTGTACTATATGCATTTCCTATACACAACCATGCACTTTTAATTAAACATACTTGTCAACCAATGACACCATGACCAAACTGACCACAAGAATTTGTATGCCACCTAAACATCGAGGGCTAAAGTAGAAAAGACATTTAAAGATTCTCCTTTGTGCAGATAAAACAATATCGGCTTCAATGACATTTTTATAAAAACAAATATATATGGGTCAACATCAAGTCAGATAAATCTTGTGCTCAACTGCTTAACTGCTATCCGAATTTTTTAAAACTTAATACAGGTAATTGGTTTAACCGGAATAAAACTTAAAAACACCTTAAAATATCCAATGTCTGCACTGTCAACATGTGTTTGTTTTCGACGACCCAAAAGTTTAGTAAAAAATGATTTTCTTCCACATCAGGCTGATCGTAGTCAAGACCTTAAAACGATTTTAATAACAAATATTGTTGATTTTATTCAGCAGTATATTTCCCTTTAGATCTCGTAAACTTTTATAGAACAAACAATAAAAATATGAAGAAATCCTGATTAAAGCTTAAAACAGAGCAACACTTTGCATTATAGCCATTTTATGGTTATATTGTTGTTCACAGCATAAACAATCAGTCAATCAAAATAGTAAATTTCGTGTTTTAGCACAATTTTTGTTCTCTGAATACAGAGTAAAGATTTATGACAGTGGGTCCAGGTGATTCGACAACGTAAATAATGTAAGTATCTTCCACGATGCGAATCTGTAGTCAGTCACAAAATCAAGATCTAGAAATGTCCATAATCGGAAAATTTTCTGTTTAGAAGACGCCTCTGACATATTAAGATATACAAGACCGCGAAATATTTTAATTGTCAGTCGGTCCGCCAATTCGTTATGGTGATGGTCTGATTTTAAAAACATACCAATCTGGACCGATGAACTACGTATTCTTCAAAGTGTCTTATGTAAATATTGCATACAGCCATTCCAAATACCTATCATTAACAACACTAGACTGTGAACCATGATACCTTCACGGTCACGCGAAGGCATTGCCCAATCATTTCATTATCAAAATGATTGATCATATTACGTCTTATCGCACCGCGGATAAATTATTACGTTGTGATTGGTTTAACACCGTCACGTTGTGATCCCCTATGGATCCGTAGGGGGTCGAAAATTTCATATGGGGTTCATGACGTCACTTCAATGTTACTGGTGACGTCATCTATTGATGTTGTTGGATCTCATTGTTTATTTTTCTTCAAAACAATTGCGACAAATTCGTTATACAGTTTACTACTGACCCCCTATGGACCATAGAGGGTGAGTAAAATCAATAGGAGATTCGGCATTCGGCCTCGTCCCCTATGGATTTTTCTAACCGTCTATGGATACGTACGGGGGCAGTAGCGAATCATATAACTTATATTAGTCTCAGTGAGAGTTTCTATGGAAAGGTTTAAATAGGAAAAATAAGAAAATAGTTACAGATGTGATCAAAAAGAACAGATCAGTTCAATGGTGTAGTTCAAATCGCAGATGTAACTTGAGGGGATGTTTAATATTGAGTAGCAACATAATTATAATAAATGGTCAGAAGGAACAATGTTTACCCAAGACATCACTACAAACCAGTAAAAGTCTGAAATGGCCTATATCTGTACTCGACTGTACTGATTTTTACTCGACCAGTCTGAATTGGTCTGAATTTTACTCAACATTACTCGACCCCAGTCTTAACCATACTTGACTGTACTGATTTGTACTTGACCCTTATCTTTGCCATTGAAAATAGTCTAAACTATTACTCGACCAGTCTGAAACAGTCTTAACCCATTCTCGACCTGTACTCGACCTATTTTTTTCAGTCTAAACCATACTCGACCAAAGGTCTGAACAATACTCGACCAGTCTGAACCATACTTGACCAAATAACCTCTACTTTTTCTAAATTTTAACTGTTAAGATAAATTTCTTTTTAACTGACATGACAACAGCCACAATAAAATAAAGATATATTATAAAAACAGATTTTAACATTCTTACATGATTCTCAGATTTATCGAATAGAGATAGTTAAATCAAATTATCTTATATAATAATTTAATTATATTAATTTTAAAGTTTTCGAGTTTTGTTAAAAAAAGATTTTCTTTTAATAAAAAAACCACACCTATACTGAGGGTAATTAAACCATAATAAGATGCTTCTTGTTTGGCATGTGTTTTTTTTTTTAAATTAATTTTCCTAAATTCCTAAATAAAAACTACATAGGTTTCATGGTTACATGCAAAAAATGTACAATAGTTATATAATTATCTTTTTAATGAGGTAACAACAGCCAACAAAATCACTGAAATTGTTTACCTTATTTTAGAAATATATCTATTATTATAATTTGGGATATATTATATAGAATATATATCAAAAAGGGATAAAAATTAAAGAAATTAATAAAATTGTTCTTCTGATTAGTGGTGAAGTATAAAGTAATACCTCCTGCGTTGGGCATACTCATGAAAAAGATCACACCTGGTCAAAGGGTATTAAATTCTAAATAACATTCATTCAAAATTACAACATCCTGTGAAACTTAAATCGCAAGGCCTTTTGAATTCACTAGATAAGTAATACACGAGTTTAAGAAAAATAGGGCTTTCTTTTTACCTGTAAAACACACATGTACTGAGGTAATTAAACCTTATTAAAGTGCTACTTGTATGCCATGTCTTTAATTTTGACAAAAATTATTTAAATTTAATTGAAATAAATTTTTACTGTAACTTTGGAACACATTTCCTTTTTTAAAAGTTTATCACAGGATTACTATGGAAGTTCTATTATCATGATTATAATAAATTCTTGGTTTAACAAAACAAAGGTGTCATTTTTTAAATTTATTAAGTTGCTTTATATGCTATTTTATATATATTTTAATAAAAAAAATGTTCACTGCATTATTAACTAAACTCAACTGACACCATAAATCTATAAAAGGCTTAAGTTAATGGTGAAAATTGTCCAGTAACCATAAAATATATCTGAAACATTCAAAAAATTTTGAACAACATTGAAACTATTAGTCACAATTCAGTTTTGAGATTATTTGATCAGCTTGTTTTATTTTTATTTTAAAGGTGATATATATGTATGTATATAAGTGTTGATGAATATGGTGATGAAGTTATATTATGTTTATTGTGAAATTTTGGTTTCAATGCTATATTGAATACATTTTTAATTTCAAATTGTTGTTCAAATTTCTAGCCAGGGAAAATAGCTGTTGTTAAAAACAGTTCCTAAATTGAAGAAATACAATAGATAGATACAAAAAATAGGTCTAGGTTGGTTAAGACTTGGTCGAGTATGGTTCAGACTAGGTCGAGTATTGTTCAGACTAGGTCGAGTATGGTTCAGACTAGGTCGAGCATGGTTCAGACTAGGTCGAGCATGGTTCAGACGCGTATAAAATGGTTAAGTACTGGTCGAGTAAGGGTCGAGTAAGGGTCGAGTACAAGTTCAGACTGTTAAGTATGGTTCAGACTACAGTCGAGTACTATCAAGTACATTTCAGACCAATTCAGACTGGTCGAGTAAAAATCAGTACAGTCGAGTACAGATATAGGCCATTTCAGACTTTTACTGGTTTGTAGTGCATCTGACGGATTTCTAACTATATAGTTGTTGATGAAATGCTTCTTTCGAATTGACAATTACAATCTGGGATAACTTAACTGTGTAGTCTCGAAAAGACATGTGCAAACACAAAAAAGTGAGAGAGAAAGAAAAACGTTGAGAAGCATTACAGCTTTAAAAAAAAACAAGTAAAGAAGTAAGAGAATAAGACGTAGTTAATATTGGTTAAATGTGAATAGAAATCCGATGATATTGAAATGAGGTATGACAATGAATAAAAGAACTATTTTGATGCTCAGTTGATGGATCAATTTGTGATCAGTGTAAAAACGTTTCCAATAAGTCAATCTGAATAATAACACTGTTAGCAGCTAAATTTTAAGAATAAAATAAAACACATTCTAATTTCAGAAGATGAACACCAATGCTATCTTCTTCACCTTTGCCTTCATATTCACAACATGCGACTGTTGGTTGAATAGTTATGATGGAAAACTGGAGTATATTTGTCCAAATAATCAGTCTGTATCTGGGATCCGTAGTCAGCATGACAACCGTCACGAAGACAGAATTTTTGACATTATTTGTAGGGTATCTACCGGAATTGGGTCAAGATGTCAATGGAGTGGTAGGTTAATGATGTCTAAAACAACTCATGCTAACCTTGTGAACAAAGTATTAAAGGCTTCAATTTCTTATGCAGATACAGAGGATACAAAATTGAATTAAAGAGAAGACTACAAAATAAAATAATTTCAGCATCTAAATATTCTAAATTAATTATTTTTAGTCAGACAAACCAGTGAATAAATCAACTTATGTCAATTTCTGTTTCAAATCAGGAAGATCATTTATAGCAAAAAAAAAAACAAGTTGACGGACGGAACGTAACACGTGTTCGAAATAAAATACTAACAATCCATACTTAATATAAAATATTGCTTAAAAAGAAGTCTGCATATGTTTAGATGGTTTTATTTATATCATTGTTGATAATGATGATATGGAATTTTTAGCTGTTATTTCTCTTTGTATACCATTTTTTATCAACAAACAGGGACACTTCACCTCAATACCGGACTAGTGAAGATTATTCTTAACCGAAGTGCAATGTGTTGTTGAAAAAAAGTAAATGAAAATATCGAAAAAAATTCTCAGCAATACTAAGAAGGCAAATACTAGTGTGATCAAATCATGTGTAATGTACTTTTTGTTATGATATTGATAAGGAGATGAAAGTCTTTCGCCGAAACACTTAAAACAAAAAGCATGAAGAACACGGCACAAAAAGTATGTCTTTTAATCGATTATGGATCTAAATCACATTTAATTTCTTTTTTCAGGCTATGTAAATGGTTTTGATGAATTCTTTGCCTTTCAATGTAAATACCATGGATATATACATGGAATGAGAAGTATCCATGATAACGGAAGTGAAGATAGACGGTGGGATTTCTACTGCTGTGACCATGACGGTAAAAATGAGAACATATATCGATTGCTACCAAGTAGTCTTCATACAAACATGTCAACCCCGTCAAATTCTGTATGTTTTTGTTCCATGCTAGGAATATATTGTATAGCAGTTGACGTTGATTGTAATTTGCTATATCTATTTTCCAGGCGGTTGGTTTTCGGCTTTGAATTGTCTCTCATTTTGACATGTCTTGTTATTTTCTGGCTTTCTGCGCTGTATGGCATAAGTGTTAATGTACAAAAGTTAGTGTAATGTGCAATTGTCGTGTTTGCTCTTTGTTCGTAACGACCAGAGAACACATGAACATCAGTGAATTACAAACGATACATATGCAAAATGCGATGTGACAGCGTATTATCTATTGATTTTATATAAATATCGCCTTTAACTCAGTTTGGAAATTGCTCATTCGTCGAATTATTAGTTGCCATGAGCAAAACGTTTGATGTTACTAGTGAATCAATGGCTACTTATTCTTCTGGAGCATCTGCATTTTACCCGGTTCGTGGTCGTTTTCGTGCAGTGTTTTGTTCACTTTTCCGTCTTTTCGTCTTTTTTGTTGTTGTCGATGTTTATCTATTTACAACTAATTACTACTGTTGCAGGTTTTGATGTGACCAAATGCTACATGATATCTCATAACAATTGGGATGCCTATTACTCTGTTTGCAACTATTTACTATTGTTGCAGGTTTTGATGTGACAGAATGCTACATGACATCTCATACCAATTGGGATGCTTATTTCTCTGTTGATGTTCCACTTAATTATGTGATGAGGGGCGTAACAAGCACCCATGATAACAGACATGAGTAAGTTTGAAATTGCAAAATATAGATCAGCATCAAGCATTTTTAAATTTGCTATAAAGCTAGTTATAAATCAAGCCCGTTTAGGAACTATCCTTTAAATCATTTTTTTAAACCCAAACATATCTTATGATATTTGTTTTGAATATGCTGTTGTTCTTTGCAATTTGTAATTTTGTCATGTATATCAATTTGCTTACTCATAGTTAAAAACAACACTAAGAGTTTGATATGTGTATGAGTTCTGTGGACATTTATTTGGATAATCCCCAATGTCTTGTATTTCTGCAATGGCCATGTCGATTCTTTATAACGAACAACCGACATCCGAGAGAAAGGCGGAAGGTATATCTTCAAGTTAATTACATTGACCTCACTTTTAGTAACAAAAATATGATTCACTAATTTCAAGTTTTGTTATAGTATTGTCAAAAAAAGAAACTTAGGAAGTGTTGCATATTATAAAACGCTTGGAGAAAGCCTTTTAAGTTACCAAACAAAAGCTTTCTATTTTTATAATTACATTTTTGCTACAACAATGAAACTGCGAATGAAATCAGCCTCTTATGTGCGTTTCTATGCGTTGTGTACACGTTATCATGCAGAGCCCGCGCAGTTTTAATATATCTTTTAATACGGAAATAAAATATAACTTGGCTTTACCTCAGCCATTCAAAATCACGGCTTCGTATGCCACTTCTTTGTTAAGGGAATTATATTCATTTATCAGTATAAACATTATTGTTTTTATTTTGTAGAGACCGAGAATACAGTTTTGAACTCTGTAAACTGCGAGAAGTTTGACGAGAATCCGATTAAAATTAGAATGTATTTGATTGAGGAAGAATCAGAGATCCACATACGAATAAAGGATCTACGTTTTTCAAACTTGTGATTTCAAATCTAAGCGATTTTACCAATAAAACGAATATAAAGTAAAATCACAAAAATACTGAACTCCGATGCATCTTAATTAACTAAATAAATATTACATCAAATCAATAAACAAGATATGCATACATGTAACTTTATAAATAGCAGACAGTCACGCAAAAAATCTGATTTAAATCGTATGCTACGACAAACCAGACTGTCTTGTACAAGCATGGCAAACAAATTTGACAGATATTTTAGAGTAACAGATTTATATTTTATCTGATTGACCATGATAAAAAAAAACTGAGGACTTAACCGTTCGAACTGTATCAAAAAGACAGTGCAATTTAAGGACTGCAGAAGGGAAATTATATCATGCTTATTATTATATAAGTAAAAGGTTGTCGATTTGTATATCCGTTTGTAATTTACATTCGATGGTAAAAATGGAAACTTAAAGTTGATAAATCTCAAGTCATTTTAACGAAACTCAAGGTGAAAATGTCAAAAACTAGTGACTTTCAACTAGCTGTCAGTACTTTTGAGTACTGTCAGATATGTACTTAGTGTTTTCTTTGTTGTAGGGATGCGTAAAAAAAATTCGCCTTTAAAGGGGAATAACTCCTATAATTAGTAGTCCATGGGACGTAGAAGATGCAACCGCTTGAATACAGCTTTATAAAAGGACATAACTTAAGAACTATAAAGGCGACACTACCTTAATAAAAACTTGATCTGTGTGTTGTGGAAGTTAGCATTGTGTATTAGTTTCATAACATTTGGTTGAGGCAAACTGAAGTTAGAGAATGGAAAAGACAAATTCAGCATTTTTTTTTTCATTTGTAAACATGGTAAAGGAATATAACTCTTAAGCAGTAAAAGTGAAGCTTCCCTTATTCAAACTTTGTTTTGTGGAAATAAGCATTGACGTAAATTTTACATTGAGGTTCTGGAAAAGGAAATCACGAATTCGCCAACATTCCAACTGACCCCATTTTCGGAAAATGACATCTGTAACAAACATAAACTTTTAGCTACATCTTTACAAGCAGAACCAAATACAATGAAAGTTCCAACTATGTACTGGCTTCCAAAGCTGCACACAACACCTTTCAAATATAGATTTATTTTGACTTCAAGCCATTGTTCCACTACTAAACGTCTATACTACTTACTAGTACACTTGGTACAATACAAAACCTTATGATAAATTGTTTAAATAAGGCCTTTTAAAATAGAGGAATTAATTACTTTTGGAGTGTCAAAAATTCGTTGGAAGTACTTGATAAATTGCATGCTTATATTGGTGAGATTGAATCTGTTCAAAGTTTTTATTTTTCTACACTATATACCACTTTGCCTCATATTCTTATTGAAAAAAAAATCACACACCTAATTAAATGGGCATTTAAAAATTGAGAATGCAAATATATATGTTCAAAACTCTTTTAGGTCATTTTTAGTAACAACAAACAAAAGAACTATGTCAATTGGACATGCTTTGATACTATAACTGCCCTTGAATTTTTACTAGATAACATTTCTGTTCGCTTTGGAGATTCCGTATATCGTCAAGTTATCGGGGACTTACTGTGCACCACTTACTGCAGACCTGTTTCTGTATTGTTATGAGTTACTATTTATAACTAAAATCAGCAAAGACCCATCAAAACAACATCTGATACAAAAATTCAATAATAAATTTAGATATGTGGATGATATATTGGCTCTCAATAATGACGACTTCAGTATGTACACTAAAGAGATTTATCCTGTTGAACTAACTTTAAATAAAGCTAATACTAACAATGAACACTGCCCTTTCCTGGATCTTGATATCTATATCATTAACGGGAAGCTTACTACCAAAATTTATTATTCCTATTGTTAATAATCATTTTTTAGATGGTGACTTTCCCTTGTCACCATCTTATGGTGTATATATATATTTCAACTTGTACGATTCGCTCGTGTATGTAACAACGTATTAGATTTTAGTGAAAGAAATCTATGTATTAATATATTAATGAAAAATTATTACACCAGGGTTTTCGATATCACAAACTAGTCAAAACATTTACTAAATTTAAAATTTCGGTACAAGGACATAATTCGTAAAATATAAATCAACATGCAGACATCTTATACGTTCTGGTATTTCACATCCAATCTTTTATGGTAATATTCTTTACAAAGCACAAAAATATCGGCATTCGCCTCAAAAACTAACAAAACCTTTAAACAGATAGACTTATTAAGAAGGGATATAGTTACGATACTGTTGTCATGTCATTAAAGATGGCATATTTTGGCTTTAATATTGATTCACTAATAGGATCTCTGCATCGGAAATAAACACATTTATTCTAAAACCAGTTGTTGGCATGATACGGGTTATGTTCTTCTCGTATATTTTATGATGGTATGATACTAAATCCCTAACGGGAGGGATTGTGCTTGATATTCATATGATGAAGACATAATATTTCAATCAGTTTAATTGAGGTCTGGAGCTGGCATGCCAGTAACTGCTAGTAGTCCTTTGTTAATTTATGTATCATTGTCATTTTGTTTAGTTTCTTTTGTTACCTATTCTGACATCGGACTCTGACTTCTTTTAAACTGAGTTTTACTGTACGTATTGCTGTGTGTTTGTTTTTCTACATTGGCTAGAGGTATAGGGGAAAGGTTGAGATCTCAAAATACATGTTTAACCCCACCGCATTTTTCCGCCTGTCCGAACATCAGGAGCAGCTGGCCTTTGTTAGTCTTGTATGATTTTTAATTTTAGTTCATTTATATATTTCGGAGTTTAGTATGACGTCCATTATCACTGAACTAGTACACAATTTTGTTTAGGGGCAAGCTGAAGCACGAATCCAGGTGAGGGATTTTCTCGCTGTATTGAAGAGCCATTGGTGGCATTCGACTGTTTTCTTCTCTTCGGTCTGGTTGTTGTCTCTTTGACACATTCCACATTTCCATTTCAATTATATTGTGTATTAGATTAATAACATTTGGCGGAGGCAAACTAAAGTTTGAGAACGGAAACAAAAATTTAGCATTTTTTACATTTGTAAATGGCATGAAAGGTATAAATGACGCCGCCCAAATTCAAAATTGATCTGTGTTTTGTGGTAATAAGCATTGTGTATTAGTTTCATGGAGGCATGCTAAATTTAGAGAATAGAAACCAATTTCGGGAGGTACATAAGTACAGAAGGACAGACAGAACATGATGGATGGATAGACAGACGGACAAGGGTACAACTGCCTCCTCCACTACGACAGGGGGCTGAAAAATATCAGCTTTTTTATTGTCATTTGATTGTCAGACAATTTTATGGATAAACACAAAACACTTTGAATTCAATTGTTAATTATTTTTATAAAAATATATCAACAGCATCTTTTTGTTCTGATGAAATAAAATGTCACAAGCATTCAATAAATACAATTGTAAAGTAAATAATGACAATGCAGTGCACCTAATTCTGTGATATAGGACCCTCATAATTTGAAGTGCACTTCAATGAAAATATCATTTTAATTTACCAATTTGAGTTTGTTCTGTAGAACCAGACTGGTTTTGTTGTCAGGAAATATAATTTTGGCTTATTGTAATAAATTAAAAAATATAATAGAATAAAATAAATGACTAAGGGGGTCTCATTGGGGGGTTTGATCCTGGATCTCAATTATTGTTTTGTCAAAATCCTGTATCCCACTTATCATTATAATAATAGGGTTTGTAATTGCATGTGTCCCGCCCGACTTTGTTTCCCTTTTTCACACCAAATATTTTGACTTTCACATGTAATGCTTACAAAAAATAGCTAATCCTGGATCACAATTACACTACACCCCAATGAGACCCACGACTAAGCCTAAATTGGTTTTATTTAAACAGCAAATTAGATATGAATCAAAGGTACCTACATCTACTTGTTAAGTTTGACAGAAACATTTTTAAAAAGCAGCTAAAAGTAAAACATAACAGGTTGAATATTGTATAATAGCAAATATGATAAATTCTAATTTTTTGTTGATTCAGTGTTAATCTTACACCAATCTAGTACACTTTATTAAGAAAAGCAGGAAGACACAGCATACAATTGTTTTGGTCGAAATTAGTGCCTCTCTTAAAAACAACATCTTTATATATATATATATATATATATATATATATATATATACAATGGTTTAATGACACTCTAACCTGCTAACTCACTGACAATGTTACATTGGAGGAAATGAATAAAGATCTGCATCTAAACTAATAATATATATAACAGTAAAATTTCTATTTAATTTTCTTCACTTCAATTTAGACAATATTAGAGAAGAGAATAAATTCATCATCACCAGAAATCTGAACTCATAGATGATTTTGTAAATTAACGGTGTTTTGATCATATTTGCTCACTACTATTTCATAACTGACTAAGCATTTTCGAAAGGTTCATTTGCTATGGAATAATGAGGTTATATGTCAAGAATCATTGGAAGCTATGAACATGTATCTGTGTTATGATGATGGAATGGATTCACTAGTTTAACAATAAATAAATATCTAACAATAGCCCTTCATCAAAGTGGCACAGCTTTATAGATAATGTTAGGGTTCTCAATGTCTTTTTTACTTTGTACTAGTCTTAGTTCCATCTGTGCTGAGTTTGGTGTATTACCAGGCCCTGCTTGTTCTGTAATAGATAAATACAATAGGATCAATGTTATATGATGAAAGTCTATTTAAGTAAAGTATTAATATTTCATCACAAAAGAAAATTATTGAACCAAATTTGGTAAAAGATGGCTATATAGGTTAAGACATATCTGGAAACTAAAATTTTGCCAAATTTCAATAAATCAATAAATGCTGTGACCTGATATTTAGATATAAGAAGATGTGGTATGAGTGCCAATGAGACAACTCTCCATCCAAGTCACAATTTGTAAAGTAAGTCATTATAGGTCAAAGTATGGCCTTCAACAAGGAGCCGTGGCTCACTCGGAACAGCAAGCTATAAAGTGTCCAAAAATAACTAGTGTAAAACCATTTAAACAGGAAAATCAATGGTCTAATCTATATAAAAAACAAGAAACAAGAAACACTTATGAACCACATCAACAAACGACAACCACTGAACATCAGGTTCCTATTGACCCTAAAACCGGAGGTCTTTTACATGCCATGAGGAATTTTGACAGAGAAGCCAGACTTCTTTCTAGTATTTGTCACATATGGCAAGTTTTCCTTTGTTGGTAGTTCAAATAAAAATGTATCTTAATCTTAATCCAAAGGATGTAATTTAAAAGGAAAAAAGACAAACAATATTATCCAAAACTGATTGGTAATCAGTCGAGGGCATTACTTAACTCATTGCCTCCTGAATCTATTTTTAGATAACTGCACTATATTCCTGATTAGATTTTCAACAGCAGCATCTCTCTCCCTGAAGGAAAATGGCTGCCATAGATTGTAAACATAGGTGTATTTTAAAAAAATAATTAAAAATATTTATCAAACAGATATAATTGTTGTGTTTTGTTTTTTGTTTCAATAATATGTTATATTTTATAAATAAAGTAAAATAAAAATTAATACATTCTGACTTTTATTTTTATTTCCTTGTTTATTGCACTATATTGTAGTTTTGTAATAATTTTCCATATATTTATCCATTATTTCTTGTGAAATTCTCTGAAACAGCTGAGACAAAGAAAGACATCACATCCACTACATTTGATTTTTACATCTTTTCTCACTTTGTTAGAAAAACATTGTTTGCAACGTCCCCTTTTGTCATTTTCACAAGGCCAATGTTCAACTTCCTGAGGATCAATATTTGATAAACGTTTTCTTTTTCTGTTGCCCCTGAAATTTCCTGTGAGTTGCTTTGCTAAGTTCATTCTGAAGCTAAGCAATGATCTTACTTTGTTCTTTCCAGTATTTGTCATTAAGTTATGGTTTGGAGACTCTTTCATTAAAATAAAAGAGTTTGCAATTGAGAGGTCTAGAAGAAAATAAAAAATGTATGTCCACCACCTTTTGCACATTCGATAAGTTGGATATTCTGTTCTAGTTTGGTCTGCTTTATCCACACCATTCATTTTGACATTGTAATTTTGTACGACAGATGGACTGGCAACCATTTTTTGAGTACCATCTTTCTGTCTACGCTGAACTTGAAGGTTGTCTAAAGTTGGATCATCAGCTGAGGACAAGAAAAAAATCACTTTCTTGTCTTTCCAAGCATAAGCTGTAATCCTCCCTCTTTGAACCACCTTTTTCTCCCCTGGATTCTTCACACATTTAGCATGTAGAGCTTTAGGAAAATTTTTCCTATTGGATCTTGCAGTCCCTCTAGCATAAATCTTCTTTCCCTTTAAAATTTTGAACAGGTCAAAACTTGTGAAATAATTATCAATATTTACGATGTGATTCTTGTTCTCTAGTCTACGAGTCAAGTTAACTACCACCCTAGAGGTAAGACCAAGCTCATGGTTTTGGGTATCTCCAGTTTTCCCTGTATAAATTTCAAATTCATTGCAATATCCATTCTCTGAGTCAGCACGCATCCAAACTTTGATGCCGTATTTAGTTGGTTTAGCTGGTAAATATTGTCTAAAACCAAGTCTGCCACGGAATGCAATCATTGCCTCATCAACACTAGTATTCTGATGAGGCTTGTAGTTATCAATACAGTTCTTATTGACAATTTCTAATATTGTTCTGACATGATGCAAACGGTCATGTCCTGGGATTCCTCTGGGAGGATTGGTAGTTTTATCATTCGCATGAAAGTACTGAAATAGTTTATCAAACCGGTCTCTGGGCATAATATTAGGAACAAACAAATTTCCAAACATAAAATCTTTAGACCAGTACATTTCCATTGTTGGAAGTTGAAGGATGCTCATGTAGAGTCTTATTCCTATATATGCCTTCATTTCTACCACTGTGGTATCCGACCACTGAGTGTCAGGTTTGCCTGCTTTTTCTTGTAGCTGCTTGGCATATAAGTTAGTTTGTGCGACTAGAATTTCAAAGATCACTGTTGGAAACATTAAATTCAGGAAATCTAGTTCATTTCTGTCAGCTGTCATTGCAGTTGTTGGTCCCACAGATTCAGTAAATACAGGCAAATCAATTTGTGACAAGGCATCAGTCCATTCATCTTCGCTGTCGTCACTTCCACTTTCACTTTGACTTTCGTCTTCGTCATCTTCGTCAAAACTAATGTCAGACAGTTCATCCTCATTGATCTGGTGCAACTGTGCACCCTTCTCTATTGATTGAATTACATCTTCTGGCGTAAATCCTTCAAATTCACCCTCATCTGAGCTAGTATCAAAGTGAAAGTCGATTTCGCCGGCCATTGTTTACGTTTCACAGATCAATGACTTTGTAGTAAAATTCCGATGTGTATTTTATGAATGAAAACTGTGCCACGTGTTAAATCTCATAAATATTCATTAGAGAATCATGTGACTCTAAAGCCATCCTTCTACTAGGAACCAATCAGAAGAGGTTTAACAAAAACGGGACCCAACCAAAATGACGCTTATATGCGTCTTTCGGGAAATACAAAATGGCGGATTCAGACGCACATATGCGTCACCAGGGAGCAAAACGAAAGTAAAAATGACGCATATCCGTGTCTACAGGGGCCAATGAGTTAAACAAGTAACTTTGAAATTACCTATACAAGTAATGTTGAAAACAAGGCTATTTTAATAATAACTTATATAAGTAACTTTTCTAGATATAATTGTTTTAGGTGTCTTAATTATACTGATTTTACTAGTTTTAACAAATTTTTACAGTCATCTGGTTATTTTTCCCATGAAATATAAAATCTAATCCTTCTGAAACACTAATTGCCTTTCTGACGCACTTATCTTTCATATTGACGCTTCTGGGTCAAATAATGGTCTTTTGGGACTATAAAAATATCGTTTTCCTTGAAAATCTTGAAGGTAGACAGATATAAATAGATAGAAACTTGTGAATTAATTAAGACTTGAAGTTATTTATGATTTGTAACCCAAAACAATTAAATATGTTCCTTGAATAAGTGGCATTACTTATTCTTTCAAAGATGTATAAAATAATTTATTCAAGTAACATTTTTGTCATTATTTTCAAAGTAACCCTTTATGTCTATACTCCTCTCAAATCTAATCAATTCTTAATTTTATGATATATGATGATGTAAAACATGTTTTCCTTTTAATGTATGTTAAATAAATAAATATCAAATAAGTTTGTTTAAAATTGATTAATAGCTATTCTATCTGTCATGTTAAAAACAAAATACCTTGAGCATACGTGAGTGTTCTTTTAATCACAGCTTGTAAGGTAGATAAAGTTTTCTCTAAAGCTACCTGAAAAATAATATATAAAGGACAGGAAAGGAATGTGTCCAATAAAATAATATCATTCTCTACGTAATCAACATGATAAACTCAGTTATTATATACTTAGTAGTACATAGAGATTCTAATATGATGTGCTTCTTTCGCTTTGTAAACAACACCATGATAAAATTCTCGATATATCTATACTTAGCGCAGACTCAGAGATGTGCATATTGGTGGCTGTTACTATTTACCTCCCACGTAAAATCCACATGTTTCGAAACCTTTGTGCAAACACTATGTTGATTTCGTTGTGTTCAATTTGAAATTAAAAATAAACCCAACAGAACTGTTATTCCTATTCTAATGCATAACAAAAAGAATCAATGCACAAGAGCTTAAAAAATGTATAAAATCAAAATAAACTAAAATTCCGCCAAATTTCACGAATGATCTCGGCGCATTAACGTCAAGTCATAACATGACGTTATACGAATGAAAACTCTCAAGCTGAACGTTTTCTGTTACGTTTACCTCATAAGTTCAGATAATATTGCATTAAAATTGAATTTTGAGGTAGATGTTGTTTCATTTTATGTTCTATTGCATTATTCGCATGTTTTTGTATTTCAGCAAGGCAACATGGCGGCTCACTCCGTAGTTAAGACATGTCAACTCTGGATTTAACAGTAAATAGTAGCCAAAGAGAAAAAAAAACGTTGGGTTAAGAATTATGAGAATTGAACACATTTTTTTCTAGTTGTTATTTAAGAAATAATTCATGTAATTCAATCAGTTTAATTGAGGTCTGGAGCTGGCATGTCAGTAACTGCTAGTAGTCCTTTGTTAATTTATGTATCATTGTCATGTTGCTTAGTTTCTTTTGTTACCTATTCTGAAATCGGACTCAGACTTCTTTAAAACTGAGTTTTACTGTGCGTATTGCTATGTGTTTCTCTATTCTACATTGGCTAGAGGTATGGGGGAGGGTTGAGATCTCACAAAACATGTTTAACCCCACCGCATTTTGTGCCTGTCCCAAGTCAGGAGCCTTTGGCCTTTGTTAGTCTTGTATGTTTTTTTAATTTTAGTTCATTTATATGTTTTGGAGTTTAGTGTGATGTCCATTTTCACTAAACTAGTACACAATTTTATTTAGGGGCCAGTTTAGGACCACCTCTGGGTGCAGTATTTTCTCGCTGCGTTGAAGACCCATTGGTGACCTTAAGCTTTGTCTGTTGTCTGCTCTTTGGTCAGGTTGTTGTCTCTTTGATATATTCCCCATTTCAATTCTCAATTTTAAGACTTAGATTTATTTGAAATTTGTAGCTTTTATCTTACAGGGAGTAAAATAGAACAGCCACGGATGTTTGATATACATGGCCTGGGCCGTGATATTCGTTAATTTTATCCCTCCCTAACGCTCAGGATAAAATTCAAATATCAGGGCCCAGGCCATGTGTAAATTTCCAACAAATCTATGGCTTCCATGAATTATTTCTTAAATATCATATGGCTTTTTCAATACCACACCTGAGACATCAATACAGTCCCTAGAGCTCTGCTTTATCATATATTTCAAGTTGATTGGGTTTTTTTTCACATGAGATAATGTAATTCAACCATGATTGATATCAATGACGTGAAATTAAAGAGTTTAGGGGTTTGATAAAGCTTTTGTAACTTTGACTGATATAAATATCATCACGGATGTTTGATACAGCATGATTGCAATTGAATGTTTTACACATAGAGTTCACCTAGCCTGTATCTACTACTAAGTATATAATAAATACAGATAAATTGTATGTGCAATATGATCAATAGCAATTATGCTTTATCAGCCATCGTTGATGATATCGATATCAGTCATGGCTGCAAAGGCTTTATCACACCTTTAATTTGTATGACATCATGTCATAATGTCAGTCACTGTTGCAAAGGCTTTATCAAACACCTAATTTGTATTATGTCATGTCACATGAGAAACATCTACTTGAGGTTCAAATGTATATCATAAAGTGTATATGATATGGCTTTTTTAATATCACACACCGTATCAACCCTCAACCAATAGAATTCCTCGAGCAGAGCTCTTGGGATTATATAGGTGTCTCCAGTTGATATGGATGTGATTTTGAAAAAGATGTATGATATTCTCTATTTAATACATATATGCAAATCAGCACTGTTCCACTTTAAAATTACCAATTCTAAGAAGGCAAATGAAAACCTCTATATAATACTTGGTTGCTTTTAAAATCTATAACAGAGATATGGTTTTCATCTACGACATTTTATTTCAGTTATCTAGCTAATTGGAAATTTCTTATGGCTAAAGCTCCTGAATTTAAATACTGCTGGTTCTAAAATGATGAATTGTTTTCTACCTTGACAGTAAACACTTATCTAATGGTTGTACTTGAGGTGGACTAAAAGAAATTTATCTATTTGTTAATATTTACCTGTAACTTTTTATCTGTCTGCATCCATGCCATTAAGCAGGCTGCAAATAAATCACCAGTTCCTACAAATCTGGCTGGTAAGAGTTTAAACTCTATCTTGAATTTTTCTTTGCAGCCATCTAAAAGCACAAATATTGTCAATTATGATATATACATCTGTTTAAACAAGACGTTGTTGGCACAATTATGCTAACATACACCACTGATAATTCTTAAATACTTGGAATCACAAAACAGAAATCAACTCAAAAGACCCTCAAGTATTTGTTTTCATCAAAACTCATATACGGTCTATACTTACATTTCAGGGACAATATCTCTGAAATGCTTTGTCCTATATGGTTGAAAAGATCCATAGATCTAGCCCACTGATAATTTAAACATGGCAGTTTTTTTATTTATGCTTTAGTTTTTGATTTATAAATCAGTTTTACCCCCTTTTTTACTCTTTTAGCAACAATGGTCATGTTTGTCATTGGATCAAATTCCTGGATACAATTTTCAAACTAGATCCCCCTAGGAAATGTTCAGGTGACGTTTGGTAACATTAAGTCTGGTAGATTCAGAGGAAAAAATTCTGTAACAAATTTAAGATGACAACAAATGATGGCAATAGGTAAAACAACTGCATGAAGCAACTACATGTATTAGTGCTATGTTAAAAAGTATACAAATGTTGAGTACAAATTAAGACAAATATTGTCAATGATTTTTTGGAACCAGCTTGAATTGTTACCCGAACTTACTTTTAACTGTGCTAGCTAGGCTCAGTATGGTACCATTACTACCAAGGTTACTACTACTTATAACAACAGTCTGTGGACTGTTACAGAACTTACTTTTAACTGTGATAGCTAGGCTCATTATTGTACCATTACTACCAAGGTTACTACTACTACTTATAACAACAGTCTGTGGACTGTTACAGAACTTACTTTTAACTGTGCTAGCTAGGCTCATTATGGTACCATTACTACCAAGGTTACTACTACTTATAACAACAGTCTGTTGACTGTTACAGAACTTACTTTTAACTGTGCTAGCTAGGCTCATTATGGTACCATTACTACCAAGGTTACTACTACTTATAACAACAGTCTGTTGACTGTTACAGAACTTACTTTTAACTGTGCTAGCTAGGCTCATTATTGTACCATTACTACCAAGGTTACTACTACTTATAACAACAGTCTGTGGACTGTTACAGAACTTACTTTTTACTGTGCTAACTAGGCTCATTATAGTACCATTACTACCAAGGTTCCTACTACTTATAATAACAGTCTGTTGACTGTTACAGAACTTACTTTGAACTGTGCTAGCTAGGCTCATTATTGTACCATTACTACCAAGGTTACTACTACTTATAACAACAGTCTGTTGACTGTTACAGAACTTACTTTTAACTGTGCTAGCTAGGCTCATTATAGTACCATTACTACCAAGGTTCCTACTACTTATAACAACAGTCTGTGGACTGTTACAGAACTTACTTTTAACTGTGCTAGCTAGGCTCATTATGGTACCATTACTACCAAGAACGTCCGGTCAGAATGGGGACTTTAAATCCGATGCCTCGTGTAAAGAGAGTGCCACGCTCTTTGCACGTTAAGAACCCTTGCAACAACTCTTTGAGGGGTCCGTAGGTGACCTGTTGCAAGGCTAAATTTCTGTCCCTATCCAATATACCCTCATTTCCTGTGGCAGTCTAAATTTCTCCGACCTTAATCCCGGAAGCCCCTATTACAGAACCTACCTATTGTATTTATTGTTAACTTGTTCTCGTCCTGAATATGCATGAAATATTTGCCACTGGACGTTAAGCAACCAACAATCAATCAATCAATTACTACCAAGGTTACTACTACTTATAACAACAGTCTGTGGACTGTTACAGAACTTTACTTTTTACTGTGCTAGCCAAGCTCATTATGGTACCATTACTACCAAGGTTACTACTACTTATAACAACAGTCTGTGGACTGTTACAGAACTTACTTTTAACTGTGCTAGCTAGGCTCATTATGGTACCATTACTACCAAGGTTAATACTACTTATAACAACAGTCTGTGGACTGTTAACGTTACAGAACTTACTTTTAACTGTGCTAGCTAGGCTCATTATTGTACCATTACTTCCAAGTTTACTACTACTAATAACAACAGTCTGTGGGCCCATGTTGTGGAGATCTTCCATTGCCAGCAGAGCATCTTCTTCATTGCTTATAGATCTCCCTGTCAACAATCTGTAAATGGAAGGTTTCACAGCTGAAACAAACATTTACTTGACTTTTTTTATATATGTAATAGTCGACTCTCCTTATCTTTAAACCAGCAGGACAGTGATAAAATTCTAAATACTGTAAATTCAGAAATTGTTGCGTGCATTTATTATTGCGATTTTGTCATTTTAGACTAAAATGCGATTTTAATTTTGCGATATTGAGAAAAATCCTGTTAATTCATGTCGAAAAAATTCAAAATGCGAGTCTTAATTATTGCGATTATAGCCCTGTCGCATTTTTCGCAATAATTTCTGAATTTACAGTACAATCAAAATTTGACTCAAGGGGAACTAACTAAAGATTAGTCAAAGGGAGACAACCCAAATTAGCACAAAATTTAATCAGTTTTTATTGCATATTCTGTTGATCTGATAATTAGTTCTACATGTTTTAATGGACATTATTCTAAATCACATTTTTCATTTGAGGTGGTTTTTGTTTTGTATAGTTGTTTAAATACTGTATTTTTGTTAATTTTGTCACTTTTTAGTCTTTTTTAATTGTAAAAGGTCCTTAGTGTGACAAAGCCCTTTGTTGTTGCACATATTTTTCACCGTATTTCAGTTACTTTTTACTTCATGTTGCTTTGTCTGTTTACTGATTAACTAAAGAGTTAGATAAAACACTTCTCAACTTGTTTCTTTTTCAGCCTTTGGAACTGAAAGTACAATGAAGCCGGATTTGTTTGAACACTCAATGCTCAAACCTTTCATCATGTCTCATGGCATGATAAATAGGGCAATCAGTTTGATACTAACAATCTGATTGTATTATATTTAATTGATCAGTATAAATAAATATTAAACATGTCTAGCTTTTTTATGAAGTGCAATTCAAACATAATTATTAATTTCATGGTTAAGTTATAGTTGTATTGTCAATTAGCGTGTTGAAGACATTCAGACCTGGTGGACATCTCCTTATTTTATATGTATAGCAACACTTTTTAATTGATTGCTTCAATCTCTAGATCTATTTCATGAAGTCTTTACAAACAATCACAACTGAAATGACTTACTCAGCTTCATATTGGTTTGGTGTAATGATATCAGCTAGAGGAATTATGGTTTCTTTATATACAGGTAACAACTCCTCTGGAACATACTAAAAAGTAATACAGCTAGATAAGGCCATAAAAATATGTGTTTTTTTTCTTAAAAAAGGACAAAATATATGCAATTCTATACATCTGATTTTCAAATACCACTTTGATGAAAGCAATCAGCACCATGAAATTCTACAATTCGTTTAATTCAGCATTTTTTGGTTCCTTTATAACTTATTTTCATCTTCTGAAGAGTAAAACTGAAAAAAAATGTTGGATATTTTTGGAGGATGATGCAGTGTGTGTGGTATACCAGCAATGATAAGGATTACCCATATTTTCAAATCAATAATAAATTTTATAATTATTATGATATTGTACATTTTGATTCAGAATAAAGACCTTCATTGTAAGCTTCTACATAACTGTTATTTTAATATAATTATTTTCTTGCCATGCATATAATTGTCTGACCAAAAGTGCATGTTGGTCTTATACCTCTTCAGCTTATATATATATAGATTCTACCATTGCATCGAGTGTGATACGATATTTATCCACTCGAGACAGTTAAATTTTCAAATTTAAAACGCGAGGCTCGCCGAGCGTTTTAAATATTTAAAATTTAACTGTCGAGAGTGGATAAATATCGTATTACACGAGATTTGGTGGTGGAATCTGTTTCTCTAATGATTTTCTAACAATATGCAGGCAAAGTTATTCCTTCTTTTCAAATGATCTGCAAAAAGATGTGTTCTTTCTATGTGACGTCATCAGACATGGTCGCTTTTTTTCATGCCGTCACAATAGGAAATTCAGAGGAAAGCAAGAAAATTCGACGTCATACCATGATGAACTGAGATCAAACGAACCACACGTTGATTAAATTTTTTTATACAATGGGTGCAGAAAGGGATAAATTGACGAAGAATTAGAGAAATATATATATATCATATATCTGGTGGAGAGTCCTGTGGTTCTATATTTTCATTTTTAATTAATGCATAGGAAATTACTGATTTACAAAAATTTACCTCATGAATAGGCTCAAGCTAAAATATCTGCAAATAACACATACTTTAAGTCATAGTAAGTGCCAAAACTGTTTTCAAACTTAAACACCATCTCACGTTGTCCTTTTATGGAAGTATCTCATATCTTGTTCTCTGATTATATTCACATCTGTTTATATATAGCAAAACCTAATAACATTACCATAATGTGATTACCATGACAACCTACCATTTTACCATTGTCTCCCATCACTGGATCACACACTACAAACAAAAATTGTAAGGATGAAAACCAGTCTATTTGAAGAATGCCAATTATTTTAATATTTAATATTTAAAAAGTATACATGTGTATTACATGTATTATACAGATTTTTTATTTTATTTTCTAGCATGCAAGACACACAGAAATATCAATTCACACCCCCAGCTTAATTCAAATCACAACTGAAGTTGCAAGTTTCATCATTTGTTGATTGTGACCTCACACACATATACCCCATGTTTTTATGAATAAGAAAGTTATTTTCTTTACAAAGATTTTTTTTATAAGAATACATATTTAATCAGTTATTATAGGTTATTGATTCTTATATTTTTATATCATTTATTGGCTGAAATATGTGAATTGATTAGGAAATATCAACAGAATAAAGGATAGATATATAATAAACTAAGAATATTTCTTTAAAGATCTATCCTACACCATCAGTTTGGACTTTAGAATTGAATATTATAAATGTAGTTACTAGCCATATGTCAGTGTAGGATTTGTTTTCTTCATATCTTTTATTATATCTCCAACCTTCTGTAGGAAAGATTTGGATCCTATGTACCCTAAAAACAGATAAATAGATACTCATAGCTATACTCTCAAGTCTGGTAATTTTGTTCTGCTAAAAAGTCAATTAACTCAGTCAACATAATTTTAACTGAACAGAATTACAGGATGAATTACAGGATGAATTACAGGATGAATTACAGACTAGAATTATAATGCATCAATGTCTTAAAATACACTTATTATATATCTAATCTCTACACACAATTAGTAATGATACCATGACATTTCTTCTTTCCTACACGTATGATGTTCCATCAGTCATTTTGATTGAAATAGCGATCCTGTGTCTACGCTTTCACTTACAGGGGTCTGACAATGCTCTGTTCTACTTTCAGTATCAAAGACCCTTCTGGATCCTCATGTTGTGGCGTAATGTTGCACAGGTTAAACAATTTGAAGACTGAAATTTCTTTGGCTGATCAAATTATTACCAGAATAGAAAGTAGAATGGAGTGTTGTAAGATCATTTATTTATTCTATTCAAATTCCAATAAACAAATAAAATTAGTCATAATCATAAAAATTTTCAAGATTTTCTGGCATTTTGAATACAATCAGAATTGTAAGTACATGTATAAACCTCTAATAATAAATTCAAGAGGCTTAACTCAACCTTAAATAGATATTTCCATCCTTATTTTGTGAATAAAGATTGATAACTCTAGATAATTTTACCCTAAAACTCTTATTATTTGCACAAGTGATGCAGTGAGACAACAACCCAGTACAATTGAGAATGGAAATTGGGAATGCGTCAAAGAGACAACAACCCGACCAAAGAGCAGAAAACAATCAAAGGTCACCAATGGGTCTCTGTAAAAAATAAAATTGAGAATGGAAATGGGAAATGTGTCAAAGACACAACAACCCGAGCAAAGAGCAGAAAACAGCCGAAGGCCATGCACCAGTACAATGCAGTAATTAAGTCTTAATGAAATGTAGGTAAACATTTGCATGTTATTACATATTACATGTATTACAAACAACGGCTTTCTCAGGCTCAATTCTGTGTGTCAATCACATTTTCATAGATTCATATTTACATTTGCAGCCTTCCACAAATATTAAGAAAAGTTTACCTGTCAGTAAATGAGTAAAGTTGTGTATATTGTTTTCTTTAAGACCTTCATATAAACATTCAACATCCTCATCATTCAAAACTTGTCCTTTGAATTTTCCATAACCTACAAAAGTGAAAAAAATTGATTCATAGTCAACAGATTTCAGTGCTGTTTAACATAGACCAGCACAAGGACAAGTATTTATTTTATGCCTTTAATACAAAAAATTGATAAAAAAATGTTTCTTATAATATATATTTCATTATTAAATCATTGGTTATGGCACGATTGATTGCATGTTCTAAGTACAACATGACATTAAAACATATATAGACTCTTACATTGGTACCAGTGGATTATCGGATTTAACCAATCGAGATAAGTCAATGTAGTGAAATTATCAATTCTAAAGTCTGAGCCTCAATTAGATAAATCCAATAATCCATGAGTTACTGTGTAAGAATCTGTTTCCCTAATGGTTTTCAAATTAATTTTCATCATTGATAAAAGAAAATCCCCTTGGAGTGCCTTCCACAATCTGGATTTCTATGTCATACAAATGTAAAGATGTCAATTTCTCTAACACCTGTTAGCACATTTTGATTCAATCAGAGAGCTGATAAAGGTTATGATCTTTTAACTTAGCCAATCACCTACTGACATCATTATCAACCACACATTGATTGTTTTTTATCTAAACAATGGGTCCAGAAAGGGTTAAATTGCATAAGAATTAGAGAAAGCCTTTTATACCTTCTATATAATCTGTGTACACCCTACATGTAAGGTCATCTTGGTGTCACCTTATGGTGTTGGTGTGAGAACAGATTCATTGTTATAAGTTTCTGTAATATACCTGAGCACATGATTGCTTTAGGATATAAATAGAAAATCTGTTATCAGACTTCTTTATTACCATTGTACTATAAAATAAGAATAAAGCAAACATATATATCTGACCTTTTTAACTTGAAAATTGATGTCCGATCTTCTATCTCTTGTCTTTTATTTAAGAATTGAATGCTTCTTTTTGTAAATTTATTGGGGCGTAAAAGCATTGACCGAAGTACATTTTGTATGAAGCGCAGAAGCCCTTCATTCTAAAAATGTGCACATGGTCAACGCTTTTACAACCCTATAAAATTACCAAAAGAAGCATTCAATACTTATAATTACATATTTTTGCTAGGATCATGAAACCACGATTTCTATCAAGTTTTTCTTTTATTTACCTGTGCACTTTATTGTGGAAGCTCGTGTCATGATGAATGTTACATTTCATTTTGAAATGAAGGCTCATTTCAGAATGACGCGAGATGGCTGTTAGCCAATCAAAATAATGTATTATAATGAAACATACATGTAATGTAATTATTACTATACATATCAATGTGGTACATATAAAATCATGTCAGGAAGGTTAATGTATCATGTTCATTGATCTGAATATGGTTTACATGTTCATATACTATGGATGACTGGGTATAGAGATATGGTTATCCTTGGACTTCTCCCGTCCAGCAGTAAAATTATTGTTGAAGTGGGGCCTTCATTAGCCTAAACAGAATTTATGATAGAGCAACTTCTGCTCAAAACAGAGTAATGCTTTGTGTAGGGAGAGTGCCATATTCTTTGCATATAAAAGACCCTATTGCAACAACTTTTTAAAGGGTACATAGGGGACTTGTCAAAAGGCAAAACTTCTGCCCCTATCAAACATGTCCTGATTTTTCAGTGGCAGTCCAAATTCCCTGCCGGCCTGACCTTCATCCTGGTAAACTTACAATGCAGAATCTACCAATTTTTATTATTTGAAATTTTGATTTTGAATACACATGAAATATTTGCCACTGGATGCTAAATAAGCAAAAATCAATCAAACAATCAACATATAAAATCATATTTTATAGTTTCATTAACATTATGAGCAGTTCTGACTAGATTTTGATTTTGTACAAATCTTTCCACTTCCCCTCATTGTATGGAAATAGAAAATTTGAACATGGTTAAAGTAAGTTATGACATTATATACTAAATCAAGGCTATACCATATATCTATTGATTGTTGTTTGCTAAAGATATAGTCAAACATCAGACTAAAAAAGTGCATCATCCGATCTAATATTTATTCTTAGGCCAACTCTAACTGGAGCCAAATGACTTTTACTGAACAAACTTAATGAAGTCCTGATGTCTTTCTCTCTCATTGGTGTATGTCCAATACCTTCTTATACTCATAGAAAATATTGCCAATTATGTATAATGTATTAATAATAGGAAGTGTAATCAAAATTTCAAAATTTGCATAAAATTATCCCCCTGAATTCCAGGTTATCAGTCTAGTGTTATTCTACTTAAATTTTTTTATGGCTATTTTTTTTACTGATTGAAAAATCTATGAACAAACTTGATACCCTCCAGATGTCTTTTGGTTGTCTGTCTCAATGTGGTATCCCTGTATATTCTTTTATTCAATCATAGAATATATTGCAAATTATGTCTGCAATTACAATAGGAATAGTAATTCAAATTTTCATAAATATAATCACCTTTTATTAGTGCTGACCATCCTGGAGTTATTCTGCATAATTTTTCTTATTTAAGGCTGACTTTTTACTCGATGAAAGAGATACTAGTCACATGATAACTGTTAGCATTGAAAAACTGATCATGCTGAATGTGCATTATCACAAACCCTGCACTGTGATCGTAAATTGAACAAATTTGTTTGATTTTTCTTATAAAATTTTTTAATCAATTTAATCATACTTTACCTGTATGGTTAGAAAATTGTACTGAGTTTATTGTACTAACATCAAAACCAAGGACCTACAAGTAAAATAAGAAAATGTCAGAGTTCAATGAAGTACATGTAGCATCAAGAAAAAACACATTGTCTATAAAATCTTCTGTTTCTATCTAAAACACATAGCTACACCAAACTGTTTACTTGGAGTCTTATCCATAAAAGATACCTGATCATATGTTACATTAAAGACATGTTGCAATTGAAGCTGCAATGTATGTCAAGCTTACAGGGTTTTGTACAAAAGCAAGGGGAGATAATACTATTGGGACAACTTTACTTGAGGTTTCATCCAGAATCACTCACCTTGTAAATATGTGAAACATTAAAATCATTTACATGGTAATAGCTGCAACAATCTTTCACATTACTAGGTAATATTGTCAATACTTTCCACCAGAGAAAAAATAACATAGAAGTTTTGTAAATCTATTTTTTTTTTATTCTGAGTGTTTGTTTTTTAGTGAAGATATAAAATCAGTGATTCTGAATAGTGATTTTACACAAAATCATTAAATAATTATGATTTTTTTAACAGATTCCCGGTTTAATTCATTTTTTGTTTAAATGATTTTTTTAGAAAAAAAAAAGAGAAAAATAAAAAGCATTAGCAGTTACATTGAACAAGTTTGAGGTTAATTTCTTTTTTCATGTTTTTATTAATACTAAGTGGACAGTTTTAAACAAGTGTCGTTAGTCACATACTGTAGTGAAATTGCTCAGGCACAGATATCTTGAAATCATTAGCTATCCTACAAAATAAAGTTAGTAGTGAATACTTCAAATAACTGATTAAAACTAAAATGTAATATATGGGTCCAGGAAAAATATGAAGAAATTATGGAACTTATTGCTGAAGAACTACAGGAAGAAGACAAGATTACTACGTTGTTCAAAAGCAGTAATGGGTTCATCAGAAGGCATTTTACAAATAAGGCTGTGTTTAAACCACAAAATGTGTCTTCGAGCACAGACAAACCTTTAATTTGCAACTGGTAAAGTTTAAAGGTATGGCAAGAACTATACTAGATAATTAGATTTTAAATGCATAAATCATGTAAATACACATGTATAAATATAACCCCTGACCGATAGACTTATCTGTTTATTTTAGATCAGTTAATTAAAGTTCAGAATAATAGATTATTATTTAGATGTAGAAAAGATAGCAATATCCTTTACATTAACATGATTAATGATATCAATGACAAAACTGGGAACTTTTCAAAGACAATTTACAAGACTAAAGCTAATAATATGAATAATAAATCAAACTTAGATAGCTCAGTTCTTACAATTGAAAAACCTATTGAAGAAGAGTGGTTTAATTTATTAGATAAAGACTGTTCAAGAAAAAAAATGATGAATTTACAAGTTACAGTGAATTTGTTAAATCCCTATTTACTAGTGTTTAAACTTTATATTAGAAATGTGTTTTTCATAATACAAATAGACCAATGATTTTGAAATATATCTTTTTTAGTAAAACACTAGTTAAAACTATTTTACAGTGATTATTTATAGTATAGACAATACTTGGTATTGTTTTATGAACATTTAAAGCCTGAGGCATAACACATTTCAATTATAAAGTTTTAAAACAAGTGTTTTTTTTAACAGTACAGGTAAATTGTGTTGAAGGTAGCATTATACATGGTATCCCTTAGACATCCTGTTTTTTTCTAAACTTAATGATTGTATAGCTGCAGTTCTTATGGATTTATCAAAAGCTTTCGAATGTTTACCTCATGATATTTTATTAGATAAATTATTAGCATATGGTGTTTCTTCACATTCTGTATGTATCTTTGTTAAAATCATTTTTTTCGGACAGTAAACAGCAAATTAAAGTCAACAGTGTTAATAGTAGCTAGGATGCCATCCAAAAGGGTTCTATATTGGGGCCCCTTTTGTTTAACATGTTTAATGTCTTCATAATTAATACTTTTTTTATTTTGTTAAAAACAGTACCTTATACAATTATGCTGAGGACAATACTGTCTTCCAGCAGTCCTGATTATGACCATCTCATATTGATATTACAATCTGAGTCTAAAGTGTTGATTGAGTGGTTCAAAGGAAATATGACGCAGGCAAATCCTGAACAATTTCAGGTTATTGCTGTAGGGAAAAAACTTTTGCAAAAAATCTATCTATCAAAATTCAGAAAAATATTTAATTGTGTGAAGAAACCGTCAAGTTACTTTGAATTGATATTGATTACCAACTGAAATTTGATGCACATATAAGTAACTTGTGAAAAAAGGTATCTCAACAGCTGAATGTTCTCAAGAGAACTAGATCCTATCTAATCAGATTAAACAAACTTACAATTTTCCATACGTTCATTTTGAGTAATTTCAATTTTCGCCTTTTGGCTTTGCATTTTTGTACAGAGAAAAATTCTAAAAAAACAAGAAAAGGTACAAGAGAGAGCATTAAGATTTGTCTATGACAACTATTTATCATCCTCTGAGACTCTTCTTGAGAACGCAAAGGTAAAAGGTTCCAACCCTACAAGTGAGACGCATCAGGACAATGGCACCTGAGACTTACAAAATTTTGAATAATTTGGCTACTTTATGTTTCCAAAATTGCTTCTCATTAAAAAGACTAAATATTCTTTTAGAAACAGTAACATTTTGGAAACACCAAAGGTAAGAAATTTTTAGCTTTGCTGCTGTTTCTTTATGGAACAGTTTACTGGACCACTTAAGAATGAAAGCAGCTTCACACATTTTGAAGTCTTGTTCAGTCCTGGAGTGGATCGGACTGTTTTTGCTCTGCTTACACATGTTACAGGTAATTTTTTATATATTTTTTATGCTGCATAAACAGCTTGCATTGCAATTGATCTTTTTTTTTTACTTTTTATTAATTACAAGAATTTAAATTGTTTACTTAAAATTTTTAGCTGCCAATTTTTATAAATTATTCTTTTCTTTATAGTATGTCTTAGTGCTTCATATACACTGATATATATGCTTTTAATGTAAACAAGATACATATATATTTTAGAGTTAATGTGGTGCTGTTTTATTATACTATTTATTTAAATACTGCATGCCTTGTTTTGTTTGTTATTGTATATGTTTTTATATTCGGTGAAAAGCTCATTAGTGCATACATTTAATTTGTTTGTCAATATGTCAAATCAAAATAAAGTTTCTCTTACTTACTTACATAAAGTATGTAAAAAAGTCAAAAGTCATAATTTCTTTACTCATCTTGAATTTCTCTTGACTGCATTACTGTAACTAAGGTCATTAATAGTTGTCTTCACAGTCAGGATTTTATGTTGTATGGCTTTCTGCTTAGTAAGGCCATAGAATTTTTCACCTGCACATACATTTTTGTACATGTATGTGTAACATAAAATGATGTCCCCAATGAAATTTTGTTAATGCTTTGATTAACAAAGATGCGTCACAAACACCATGGACAATCTCCTACCCAACACCAAAGGAGTGTTAGGACATCTGGAAGTCTGTTATCATGATGGAGTACTTGGAGACCACCACCGAGCTCCTAGACAGGAACAAACCAACGAAGAGATATCTGCAGATTGATCTCCAGGACAAAATCAGTGAGTGATTTGACCAACAGAGGCCTCCGATTGCCTCGACATGTTTGACTGTCCTCTGTTATTTTCTAGGTGTAAACTAGTCTGAATAATTATGAGGCCTTGAAAGGCTATTTTAATTTGTTGCTGTGACACCTTCCTACATCGTCATAGGAAGGTGTCACAGCAAAAAATGAAAATAGCCCTTCAAGTCATCATAATTATTTGGACTAGGTGTAGACACAAAATATTTTGTACAATTGTTATAATGTCATTAATGAACATTAAAAATGCTCTTTGGTCAAAATGTGGGTCTGAAGAAACTTCCAATTATTTTTTTTGGAGATATATTGACCGCATAAAACTTAGTGTCAGTTTTCAGAAACAGACTGACTGTCCTTAGCCTAGAGGCAGGACAGCTGGTGACTACATCATGTGCATGAGTATGAAAAGCTAAAGGTTGACTTTGATCTTTAAAGATCTCTTCTTCTTCTTCCAAATACTACCCACATTCAACATGATGAATATTCTGGCAAGTTGCGCATGATTAAAAACAGGTTAAAAACAGGATAAAAACAAATTGTTCTGTTGATTTAGTTTGTGGTTTCTACCTGTAATGGGAATGAAGCACTCTTGTTTCCGACGTATCCAAACACGACAGTACTTTGTATCGACAGTACACGACATTCTTCGTTCGTCATTGTTTTTCCTTGACGTTTAAACAATGTTGAAACGTTGTGCTGTCCCACACTGTCCTGACACTGACAATCACAATGACATGTGAGGCGAAGGTTAATTCATATATTTCCGGGTTATGTGTAAAAAAAAAAGAATACCGGAAAGATTCTGAATAGAACATTTAATATTTGATTTTTGAGGGTTTTTGATTTATATGAATATCTAAAAATTAGGTGAATAAATATGTAATTCTTTATAAACTGAATTTAAATCAGTATGAAAAATATTTGAACAATGTATGTGCTGAAAAATAGAAAGAGCACGAATATTAAAATCATCCTTTTCACCATAACCTAATGAAGGGGGCGTGTCTACTTTCATTTTGAATAGTTAGTACTACAGTACCTTGGATCAAAGTGCAGCCGACAAAGTAAGTTCATGTATAGTCCATATCTAAATGACAATCTTTTACCTTTATTTTAATAAACCGTGATACCAAATAAACATATTTACTAACACCTTAAGAAATCATGTAACCAAGCTTTGATGTGCCACGTCCTAATTGTTAAACTTTACTTTGATCTCACGCTTCTCGAACGGTTAGTCCGTTAGACAATTGATGTTAGATGCTGTATCAAATATTGATTTTTTTTCATCTATAAAGGATATCATATGGGTCAAATATATTGCAAATAAGGAGATGTTTGAAAAAAATAAGCCAACAAAAGCTGCTAGGCATGTATTATAATGTATGGAACGAAAAGTTGGGTATACAACTTAACTAACGTACGTATCTGTGTGATGGTGTTTGTGTTGTTGGGTGTATAAGTTTCAGGTCGTGCTTTTCACTCGTACACAGACGACAAATGTCAATGATACACTTTTACAGGGTTGCCCTAGAAATCTACTGGTAGCGTGATTAAGGGAATCCTGTGGTCACATAAATAAATAATTCGGTCCTGGTGTAGTCTGAACGAAGTCTTGTAAGTGAACATAAACACGAAGTCGAATAAAAGTTCAGTACTGTATTATCAAAATCACACGACTATAACAAAGTTACAAGTATATCAAATGTACATCTAACTTCAGGCTCATTAATACGGTTCTCCTCTCTTAACTATATATAAACGTAACTGTCCTCTCCTCACTATAAATTCTCTCTCTCTTCTCTCATGCTCTTTCTCTCTTTTATATCACTCCTACAAGCCCGGATACAAATATAGACTACTAGGGCAACCGGGCTCCGTGTATTCCGTGCCCCGGAAATATGGGTGCTCCGGTAATCCGGGCTCCTAGTGTTCCGTGCACCTTACATATATTTACTAAGGCACCATATGCAAATCATTAGGGCTCACTAGTCAAACAAAGAAATCTAAATATAACTCTTAAGTAATATCTCTGATGATCTCTAACTGTATTAAATGGCTATTTATGAAAATACAACTGTAGGTAAACCTGATACAATAACATAACACACTTGACCTAACATATAAAAATTTTACACGTAAATAATTTATGTTCGCGCAAATGATTTGATAAATAAGGATGAACCATTTCCAAATATTTTACAGTATATTGTGTTGATACCTGGGATATTTATGCACTGATAATTTTGCAATAAAAGACAATAGGAACCTCAGCATGGAATCAAAATGTAAATCATTTTTTTTACATTGAATCTATATATCATATATAAGAAATATAGAAATCCTTGTTTCAAATTCGATTTTAGTTTGAAATGTTATGACTATTTTTCATTGCTTGAGATGTTCGATGAAATAAAATTTTGCAATATTTAAATCTATAAAACTTTCGGTATCTGATTAGAAATATGAAATAATGTTGTCATAACACCTTGTATGGTACTTCTAAGTTTCAATTTAGAAATAAGGAGATGTACCTGCTATGATGCTAATAAGACAACTATCCACTATAGGGACAAAAAGACATAGATGTAAGCAAGTACATGTCACATTTTGCACAGTTAGACTTAGTCCAAATAATTATAACGTCTTGAAAGGCTATTATGTTTTTATCGCTTTGACGCCTTACAGCGTCAGACTTAATCCAAATAATTATGACGTCTTATAATGCTATCACATAATAGGTTGTCAGTCAGATGTCGTGTGTCCAATCTAGATGAAACGATTTTCATCATGTTCATTTCGTTTCTGAACAGTAACTGTATATTTGACATGAATTATTTTCTTCATCATGTTCATTGTCCCTATTTACATACATGTAGGATAATGTCAATCTAATATATACCGACCATTACATTGAAGTAGTCGCTTTAATTAATGTAGAATTATATACACATTGGTACTATTTTAAAACTTGATAACATGTGTCTTTTATTTGGATAATGGAAAATGAAGATCATTTTTTAATACTAGTATTTGTCATTAATTAGATGTTTTAAATGAAAGAAGAACATAAAATATTAAGGCATAGTATACACTGAATTGAGCGATATTTAAGATTTTGATGAACATTTCTATACTTTTTAACGGTTTAGAACACGGTTTTAATGATTAATGATTGAATTTTTTTTTAGATTTTTCGGCACGTCCACTCCGAGACAACGTTAAACAATGCAAAGAAAACAAATGAAATGTTTGACTTAATTAACTCGTTATTTCATGGTTGCAACATAAAAATGTAATTATAAGAATTGAATGCTTTTTTTATAGGGTTGTATAAGCCTTGAACTTTAACCACATTTTTAGTTTGAATTAAGCGCATCGCATCCATGCTTTATGCAAAATGTGCGTTGGTCAACGATTTTACAGCCCAATAAGATTACAAAAATGCTTCGCTGGGGCGCAGCTTGATACGACCGCAGAGGTCGAACCCTGAACAGTTGGGGCAAGTATGGACACAACATTCAAGCTTGATACAGCTCTGAATTTGGATTGTTATTAAATATTTGACACAGCATAGGTTTCTGACACAGAAAGAATGTACGTGGTCTAAGAACTTGAATTTTTTTAATTTACCTATTATGGTCCAATGTCCAAAATCAAAATACATGGTTAGATTCAGCATATCAAAGAACCCCATATATTCAATTTTTGTTAAAATCAAACAAAGTTTAATTTTGGACCCAAACTTGGACAAACTTGAAAACTGGGCCCATAATCAAAAATCTAAACACATGTTTAGATTCAGCATATCAAAGAACCCCAAGAATTCAATTTTTGCTAAAATCAAACTAAGTTTAATTTTGGACCCTTTGGACCTTAATGTAGACCAATTTAAAAAACGGGACTTAAAATTAAAAATCTAAATACACGGTTAGATTTGGAATATCAAAGAACCCCAATAATTCAATTTTTGATGAATTCAAACAAAGTTTAATTTTGGACCCTTTTGACCTCAATATGAACCAATTTGATAGCGGGGCCCACAAATAAAAAATCTAAATTCATGGTTAGATTCAGCATATCAAAGAACCCCATATATTCAATTTTTGTTGAAATCAAAAAAAGTTTAATTTTGGACCCCAACTTGGACCAACTTGAAAACTGGGCCCATAATCAAAAATCTAAACACATGTTTAGATTCAGCATATCAAAGAACCCCAAGAATTCAATTTTTGTTAAAATCAAACTAAGTTTAATTTTGGACCCTTTGGACCTCAATGAAGACCAATTTAAAAAACGGGACCCAAATTAAAAATCTAAAAACACTGTTAGATTTGGCATATCAAAGAACCCCAATAATTCAATTTTCGATGAAATCAAACAAAGTTTAATTTTGGACCCTTTTGACCTCAAAATGAACCAATTTGATAGCGGGGCCTACAAATAAAAAATCTAAATACATGGTTAGATTCAGCATATCAAAGAACCTCATATATTCAATTTTTGTTGAAATCAAACAAAGTTTAATTTTGGACCCCAATTTGGACCAACTTGAAAACTGGGCCCATAATCAAAAATCTAAATACATGTTTAGATTCAGCATATCAAAGAACCCCATATATTCAATTTTTGTTGAAATCAAACAAAGTTTAAATACTGGACCCTATCTTGGACCAACTTGAAAACTGGGCCCATAATCAAAAATCTAAACACATGTTTAGATTCAGCAAATCAAATAACCCCAAGAATTCAATTTTTGTCAAAATCAAACTAAGTTTAATTTTGGACCCTTTGGACCTCAATGTAGACCAATTTAAAAAACAGGACCCAAAATTAAAAACCTAAATACACGGTTAGATTTGGAATATCAAAGAACCCCAATAATTCAATTTTAGATGAAATCAAACAAAGTTTAATTTTGGACCCTTTTGACCTCAATATGAACCAATTAGATAACGGGGTCCACAAATAAAAAATCTAAATACATGGTTAGATTCAGCATATCAAAGAACCCCATATATTCAATTTTTGTTGAAATCAAACAAAGTTTAATTTTGGACCCCAATTTGGACCAACTTGAAAACTGGGCCAAAAATCAAAAATCTAAATACATGTTTAGATTCAGCATATCAGAGAACCTCATATATTCAATTTTTGCTAAAATCAAACAAAGTTTAATTTTGGACCCTTTGGACATTAATGTAGACCAATTTGAAAACTGGACCCAAAATTAAAAATCTAAATACACTGTTAGATTCGGCATAACAAATAAATAAATGTGATCAAAGATTTTACAAATCTAATGCGCCATACTGTGCAATTAAAGATTACTTCTTGAAATTTTTCAATATTTGAAATTTGAAAAAAAAATAATATTTGAAGAATAATTCTTTTTAATTTCTGAAATCTGAAATGAGAAAAAATTGGCCCCCCACAATTTCTTTTTATCCCCCCCCCCCCTCCCCCCTTTTTCCCCCAAAAAAATTCTTTCCCTCAAGATATGGTCATAATCTCAATTCAAATTTCCAATGGAGTTGGCAACCATAATTACCCATTTAAATTTACCATAGTGCTAACTTAATCTATTTTATAATAGAATTAATAAAAAATATAGTGTCAAATCTTTCATATGGATTTTTTTGTAAAAAAAAAAGATGAAAACATTTGCAGATATTTTTACTGGTCTTCCTTTATAAATATGCATTTCTTTAAACATAATTTAAAAGCAGTGTAAGGGAAGTAACCAAAACGTTGTATTTGGATTACCTCCCTTACACTGTTTTAGATTATCTTTATTGTTCATTAACCATTACTTTATACATAATTTAAAAGCAGTGTAAGGGAGATAATTTCAATGATGTATTTGATTTATCTCCCTTACACTGCTTTAAATTATGTTTTGTACTAAAGTATTTGTCCATTAACCAGGACAACCTTGTTTTTCCCCCTTTTTTGCCCCTAATTCCTAAACGGTTTGAGCCATAACCCCCCAAAGCAAATCCTAACCATCCCTTTGTGGTATGGAAACTTGTAGTATAATTTCAGAGAGATCCATACACCGTTCCACAGTTATTGTCTGGAAACTAGAAAATGCTCATTTTTGGCCCCTTTTTGGCCCCTAATTCCTTAACTGTTGGTACCATAACCCCCAAAATCAATCCCAACCTTCCTTTTGTGGTATTTAACCTTATGGTCAAATTTCAAAAAGATCCATTCACTTAAACTAAAGTTAGAGTGCGAAAACCAATATGTATTCGGACGACGACGCCGGACGACGACGACGACGACGACGACGCCGGACGACGACGACGACGACGACGACGACGCCAACGTCATACCAATATACGACCACAAAATTTTTTTGCGGTCGTATAAAAATGAAGCATCCAATTCTTAAGTTTTATCTTTTTTCCTTCTGATGTATATGATAAACATTCAATCAATAAATCAAAATCCGCCAAACAACATGTGTCGGATAGATACTTCAGTGTTGTTACAAAAACAAAAATTCCGTTACTGCGACAGCGACCTTTTATTGGAATTATTTTTAAAAGTACTGAAATGGCATTCTTTAATCGCATACATTACTGTACTTTCAGATGCCTGGAAAAATGGAAGGTAAAGTTTGCGTATGTACCGCATCAGCTCAAGGTATAGGAAAAGCTGTAGCATTGGTATGTATATATATGAATATATAATGAAATATTTCGAGTAACTTCCAAAGAAATATTAAAACTTTTGCACTGCGTATATTTTGTATGGTTGAGATTGCAGACACAAATAGGAATAATCAGTTTTTGAATTGATATGACACAAGTTTATCTTTTTTTCAGGCATTTGCAAGAGAAGGAGCACAGGTGATCGCCACAGACATTAATGAAGAAAAACTAAAAGAACTGGCAGCCGAATCGACCAGTACGTAAAACATTCCATACCCCTTTTTCTTGTAAAGTATCTTTTAGACATTACAAGTTTTAGTACTTAGAATTAACAGTGATGAATAACTATAGTAGCTAGGGATTAAATTAGTTTGAACAAGTTAAAACCAAATATAAGTAGATGTTGCTATTCGATATGCAATTGACATATCACATCTACATCACAAAACAATCAGAAAAAGACATTTAAAAATAAGGCAGCCTGTACGAATAGTGATGCCTGGAAATGGCACGGAAACCAGGCGTAGAAATCATACTTTATCCGGGCGTCATTGCAGTGTTTCAGGAATGCATTTCCAGGAGTCAACCAGGCGTTAACCAGGAGGAAACCAAGGTAACAGAGGCGGAAACCAGGCGTAAAATTAGGCGTAATATTTAAATGAGTACGCCTGGTCCACAGAAAACCAGGCGTAATATGCAAATGAGTATGCCTGATCAATAAATAAACCAGGCATAATATCCTTACATAATACTACACTTAATTCAAATCAGTGTATTACCCTAGCTGTTTACTTTGTGTATTTGAAACAAACTTGTACTGTTGCTTAAATTTCTTATTGTTTGACATAACACTTTAAATATTAACCATTGAAGAAGCTATATAGATAAATAAATATTAGACAAACACTAGCTCCAGTTTAAATAAGAATTGTGACAATTATTTTTTCTTGAAATAATACAAGCATTTTGTCTAAGTTTATGTTTTGAAAATTAATGTCACTTGAACTAAAATATGATAAAATAATGATAATACTGCAATTTAGCTTAATGTGAAAGATTTTGATGTTCATAATAATCCAAGGATGAAGGTTTCCAGAATTCAAAATTGCTGTTAAAAAATAAAAACTTAATAACTTAGTTACTCACATTATTATTATATACCATGTATACTACTTTCCTTTTATTTCACAATTTTCATTTATCATTTTGATTCCATAATTCCAATTTCAAATTCTTCCAAAAACACAAAAAAAAATTCTAAATATCCCTGAATTTATAAAGCTGCCATATGTCCAACTCTTGCAAAATAATACCAAAGAGCCAAATTTTGAAAAAAATTCCCATGATCCTTTATCAACAAAGCATTATGGGTATTATCTTTTATGCCTTACCAACAGTTTTACACCCGTAGGAAAATTTACGCCTTGCTTATTTCAATTTACGCCAGGTTTACTACTTTTTTCTACACCCGTAAGGACTACAGGTTTACGTTTCCTGCTCCATTACGCCTGGATCTGGGCACGTAACTACCACTTACGCCTGGTTTACGGCAGATTATCAGGCGTAATACGCCTTATAATTTCGTACGGGAAGAATAATAGCTGAAGAATAATCTGCCAAAGAATCAGACAGTGGTGAAAACATGACAAAAAAAAACCCCACTCAAGTTGACATTAATTTAAGTTCAAAATGTATAATGGTACACGAATATAACTTTCATTTCCTTTTTCTGTATTGGTATTTCAAGAAATAATTTTGTTCAAATGCACTAGAAATGACCAATTAAGGGGAGCTTAATTTATACTCTGTAATTTGCTACCATTCTAACCAAAATTTAATATATAGATATTTCTCGAATTGCCAGACACATGCACAGACACAAAAGACCTAACATTTCTATATCAGGATGAGGGTTGCCTCAAAATAGGATGGTTAACATGGTTAAGTCAGTGTTTTTAGTTTTGCCATGTTTTGAAATTGCCTGATTCTTACAAAGACTGGCACTTATGTCCACTCTTCGAGCTACAAGGTATGGTCACTGTACTAAGTATTCTGTGATGATGATTTATCTCTCACTAGGTCGATTTACTAAAGATAACTGTTGTCATCAATTGTGTTTCCAATTAGTTTCAATAAAGTTCTCATGTTTTCAGAAAGAATCAAAATAACTTGGTATTCTTTCGGAAAAAAATCTTTAAATAAGAAATGACAATCGTTTTATGCTTGCATAAGCTGAAGAAAACACTTGACAAAAACACAGAATAAAGTAGGCTTTGTACAGAAACTTTTTGGGCGTTAAAATCATTTTTATTAATTAATCTGCAGATGAATAGAAAGGAAAAAAGAAAATTAGAAAGAAGAGTGTTTTTTTCTTTTCAAATCGTCTTAATAATAAGTACAGTTCTTTATAATTGTATTTTTTTATCCTCTTGTAGATATAACAGTACAAGTTTTAGATGTAACAAAATCTGATGCTGTGAAGGCGTTTGCGGAGAAGATAGATAAAATTGATGTGTTATTTAACTGTGCTGGGTATGCATGATAGTATACAATAAAGTTCATAGGGGCGTCTGTATAGTAGGCAATAACTGTCATAGCGGCGTCTGTATAGTATACAATAACTGTCATAGCGGCGTCTGTATAGTATACAATAACGGACTTAGCGGCGTCTGTATAGTAGACAATAAAGGTCATAGGGGCGTCTGTATAGTATACAATAAAGGTCATAGCGGCGTCTGTATAGTATACAATAAAGGTCATAGGGGCGTCTGTATAGTATACAATAACGGTCGTAGCGGCGTCTGTATAGTATACAATAAAGGTCATAGCGGCGTCTGTATAGTATACAATAAAGGTCATAGGGGCGTCTGTATAGTATACAATAACGGTCATAGCGGCGTCTATATAGTATACATTAAAGGTCATAACTGCGTCTGTATAGTAGACAATAACTGTCATAGGGGCGTCTGTATAGTATACAATAACTGTCATAGCGGCGTCTGTATAGTATACATTAAAGGTCATAGCGGCGTCTGTATAGTATACATTAAAGGTCATAGCTGCGTCTGTATAGTAGACAGTAGACAATAACTGTCATAGGGGCGTCTGTATAGTATACAATAACTGTCATAGCGGCGTCTATATAGTATACATTAAAGGTCATAGCGGCGTCTGTATAGTATACACTAAAGGTCATAGGGGCGTCTGTATAGTAGACAATAACTGTCATAGGGGCGTCTGTATAGTATACAATAACTGTCATAGCGGCGTCTATATAGTATACATTAAAGGTCATAGCGGCGTCTGTATAGTATACAATAAAGGTCATAGGGGCGTCTGTATAGTATACAATAACTGTCATAGCGGTGTCTATATAGTATACAATAAAGGTCATAGGGGCGTCTGTATAGTAGACAATAATGGTCATAGGGGCGTCTGTAGAGTATACAATAATGGTCATAGGGGCGTCTGTATAGTAGACAATAAAGGTCATAGGGGCGTCTGTATAGTATACAATAACGGTCATAGGGGCGTCTGTATAGTATACATTAAAGGTCATAGCTGCGTCTGTATAGTAGACAATAACTGTCATAGCGGTGTCTGTATAGTAGACAATAACGGTCATAGCCGCGTCTGTATAGTAGACAATAACTGTCATAGCGGTATCTGTATAGTAGACAATAACGGTCATAGCGGCGTCTGTATAGTAGACAATAACGGTCATAGCGGCGTCTGTATAGTAGACAATAAAGGTCAGAGGGGCGTCTGTATAGTATACAATAATGGTCATAGGGGCGTCTGTAGAGTATACAATAACGGTCATAGGGGCGTCTGTATAGTATACATTAAAGGTCATAGCGGCGTCTGTATAGTAGACAATAAAGGTCATAGCGGCGTCTGTATAGTATACAATAACGGTCATAGCGGCGTCTGTATAGCATACAATAAAGGTCATATGAGCGTCTGTAGAGTATACAATAACGGTCATAGGGGCGTCTGTATAGTAGACAATAACGGTCATAGCGGCGTCTGTATAGTAGACAATAAAGGTCATAGCGGCGTCTGTATAGTATACACTAACGGACTTAGCGGCGTCTGTATAGTAGACAATGACACAAGTTGTTAAAATACTAGTAGAGCATGCAAATTCAGTTGTTATCGTTAGTTTCTGTATGTTATATGTGTTTTTTCATTTATATTTTTATCACCAATCAGGCTGTTAATTTTGTCATTTGAAATGTTTTACATTTTGTCACATCGGTTCCTTTTTATAGCTTCCAATACGGATGGGTTTTGCTCATAGAATGCCGAACAGTGACCCATAATTGCTTACATCCGTGTTATCTGGAGTTTGGTGGATTGTGGTTTCATTTGTTATCTTACCACACCTCCTTAACTTTATATTAATTGAGTTGAGCTCAGATATTATATGTCCTATCATAAAAGCATAGCGTATATTGCAAATCATTACGGTAATAAGGAATTGACGAAAAATTACTTCGAGTAACAGTTATAATTGTTTATTTGCAATCCTCGCTCCTTTTGAAGTTTGAATTCCTGTTCGCAATGTTGAGCATAGAAAGCAATGCAAAGAGATATCCGTTAAAGCAGTTGAAATGAAAGAAATCATTCTTCTGTTTTCTTGTATGGCGAATTTGTGTAATTATCAAGAATTGCGAATGAAATTAATCACAACCACAGAAAAAGTAAGAAAATATTATGGTAGAAAAAGACGTAATAAAAGAGGATGCATATTAAGCATGAATTTGATAATAGTGACAAGAAAACGGAAATTGAAAAACTTGAAAACGCAAACTTTATGCAATGTTGTGCAAACGTTTTTCCAAATTGTATAATCTTCAACGAAATTTTGATATTATTTGTCAAAGTCTATAATTTATAATATTTCAGGTTTGTTCATAATGGAACTATACTAGAAACCTCAGAAGAGCAATATGATTTTTCTTTTGATCTTAATGTCAAAAGCGTATACAGAATGTGTACACAATTTATACCAAAGGTAAACCCAAATATAAACGTATGAATTGTAAGGGAGCTACCATTTGATTTTTATGGGGGGGCTAGGATGAAAAATTTTGTCCTGCATTTTTTTTAAGCTGTAATCTCTGTCCTGCCTTTTTATTTTTCACTCTATTCGGTCCTGCCTTTTTTTTTTAGTTTATCCTGACTTTTTTTTTACCTTAATTGTCGTCCTGACTTTTTTTTTTGCAAGTGTCTTATCCTGTCCTGCCTATTTTTTTCAAATTTCATCCTAGCACCCCCATAAAAATCAAATGGTAGCTCCCTAAAGAAGTAAACCCTTGTATACTTTGAACTGCAAATATATTTTATGATATCCTAACTACGACTAATTGTGGAATATTTTTTTTTATGATTTGAAATTCTGAGATTGTGTTTTTTGAATGAAAACCATATCGGATATATATATGCCCAGTAGCTGCTAGGAAAAGGGCAGAAAACTGCTAACGAGAAACAATTTAAACAAGGTTTAACCGGTCATAAGTGCTTTTGTCAAAAAGTTTTTATATGCCATTATGGGCTGAAAAGAGGTTACTAAACGAATACCGTAAATTGTAAGATGTCTATTTTTGTTACATGTATGCACGAGAGACTAGTATGTTTTAATCATCTGATCATTCAGAACTATAATTCTGTTTAAAGAAATAGTACATAGCATCAATTTGAAATTCGGGGAAAGGTGATACAGAATTTTAAACATAAACTATAATCTCCCGAATTATTGTGTTTATAGCATTTAGGACATACAGTATCGGAAGACGATCCCAATTGATATATTTATAATATCAAAATAAAATACTTTTAGATGAGAAGTTCCAAGAAAGGAAGTATAGTCAGTATTTCCTCTGTTGCCTCTAGTATCAAAGGTCAGTTTACCTTTTTTATGTTTATAAAACACTTTTTATTGTGATACATGTACTTGAAAGAATTATGTTGCGTGGTGAATTCTGTATAAGATATCTCATCATCTAGTCGCAATTCCATCAGACACCACACTGATACCTGAAGATACAAGAACCTGAAAATTATCAACTTTAGAGCACATATATACATCTAAAGATAGTGCAGACACCCATTCTTTCCGTTTACAATACAGCAATGGAATAAATTACCTTTTTAATAGTTCATTCTCCGCCAGTAGATAGCTTTATAGATCTGATATCCGTCGAGTTTTTATAGTTTTTATATTATTTAAGATTGCTCTTTTTTGTTAATCTTTTCTCATTTGTTTTGTGTTTTCGTTATTTGTACAGGTGCTCCTAACAGATGTATATATGGTGCTACAAAGGCAGCTATCATAGGAATGTCGAAAGCAATGGCTTCAGACTTTATCAAAGATGGCATCAGAGTAAACTGTGTTTGTCCAGGTAAACAATGTACTGATTTAAAACCAGAGAACACTCATTATATGTAATATGTCCTAACATGTATTCAGCCTAGAAGTGAGCATTGCATTGTTGACATGAACTAACATTGATTTGGTCATAAAAATAAATTAAATGTTTACAAAACATTGAATTTTGTCTTAAAACTAAGGATTTTCTATTCAGGAATCGATTACTATAGCTTTATTTGGCAAAATCTTTCGGAATTTTGGTCACCAATGCTCTAATGCTTCGTACTTTATTTGACCTTTTTTACTTTCTTGATACGAGTGTCACTGGTGAGTCTTTTGAAGACGAAACGTGCGTCTGACGTACACAGTTTTAATCCTGGAATCTATGTTGAGTTTATCTATTCTGCACAAATCGTAAAATTTATTACAAATGACATATCATTCTAACTACGATAAACGAAATATTTTGCTTTTTTGTAGGTACCATCTTTACTCCATCATTAGATTCAAGAATAAGAGATCTTCCAGATTATGACGAGGTAAACAGAACATAACAATGAAACAATAAGAACCTCTACATAACTATTGTATACAGAAAACAGGATTAAAATCATTTTATGATAGCTAATAGAGGCATATTCCTGCTATTATTTAATTACTGTAAACTATGGTACAACACACTGATATTGAACCTAATAAACATAATTGATCCTACAATAGTGTACATTAGTTCTGTATGTTGAAGATAAGTTTTTTTTTTATTTGAAAATATGATATTTTATTCTGACAAAACAACATATGCTATATTTAAATACATGTTGTATTCTATTTCTGGTGGAAATAACTGTATTCAAAGTTATGGTGTTTCGTTTTTAGGCTATAAAAGGATTTATGGCAAGGCAGCCTATTGGCCGGTTTGGAACTGCAGAAGAAGTAGCTAATTTAGTGTTGTTTTTAGCATCAGATGAGGTAATACACATCAATAAACATGCATTTATATTTTATATTTATATTTGTGAAATTTTAACCAACTATGCATATGCATGACGGGTTTTCCACGCATAGCAGGATACTCTTCTTCTGGAACACAACCATAGTCATTTCAAATTCCCTCAGTTTCTGTTTGTTATCTAGATTTGTCACTTCTTGTCGATTTACAAGATTTAAACATTATTAATCAACTGCCGCTTTAGTTTATACTGATAATGGAAATACAACTTGGTCTATAATTTACTTGACTTGACCAAGGATTATTAAAGCAATAGTCCCGACTTGATGGACACACGATTGGCTTAGTTATCTATGATCGTTTCCCCTAATTTAATAATGTTTTGATTTTACCAATGATAACTACTATAAGAAATATCCCCTTAAAAAGTCAACACTATTCACGGGCATGCACGTTTTAATATTTCCTGCATTTATACATTTTTTATGCACTCATATTTATTTCATGAATTAAAATTTATGCACATTTTGTACTTAATGGCTATAATAATACAGCGTTAAGCGCAATTTATAATTGGCATACTTAATATAAAATTTAAGAAGATGTGGTATGATTGCTCTAATATATTCCAATGATATAGAAGTAAACAATTATATGTCACTGCACGGACTTCAGCAATGAACAAAGCCCATACCACAAAGACTCCGAAATGACAGATGTAGCATAAAACAAACAAGAAAACTAACGGCCAGAATTATGTATAATACCATTATGTCTGATTAGGAGAAAGCAATTAATGTCCATTATAGTACAGGAAGTAGTTGGGACTGTAGTTCCTTGTAAAATATGTACAAGTATGTAGGTAGGGAATTGTTTCTTACATTAAAAATGATGCACCAAAGGTTTTCACCGGTAAGATTGAGGATATCTCTTCAAACGTTTGGCTGACAATCTGATTTTGTTGACATTGAATATATCTATCAATCATCAATGACCATGATATATGTTTACCACTTGTCGAAACCACAATTCCATTATCCTTTCCCGATTTTGTCATCAACGAAGGCGACTTTTCACTGCAACTTACTGGCCATGTGCAACATGACATCATTTATTAGAATAATGATAAACAGTAGTTTACCGCTGTCTAAAGTTCATGAATCCATTATTAAAGAAGTTACAATTAAGAATTAAACAACAATGAGGATATGACAAGGTTTCTAGAAGGAACGAAACCTGGTGCGTCGACAGCATAACCATCTTCTATTATGCATGGTTGACTTCCTATACAAACCCATCCTAAGGACACAATCCGCAAATGAACAGAGTAGAGGACTATTCTCTTATCTTAAGAACTGAGAATGCTAAATCATGCCCCATATTTGCTATCAGTATTCGATTAATCAGAGCAAATTAGTTCATTTCTATGTGTTTTCCTGGAAAAAAGACGAAAAAACATTTTGAATCTTTCACTTTTAAATGTTAGGGTTAAAATGAATTAGAGGCAGGACCATGAGGTATCACGATGTAATTTAAAATTCATATAAGTCATATAAGTCAATGACATGATATCAAAAAATGAAAGTTCCATGGCGAAAAATGGCAAATAGCCCTAGAGGCATTTGGAATAGAATATATTCAAAGAACAAATATTTGAGTATCGATGAGAGGGGGATTTTAAAAATAAATGTACTGCCCAAATAAGACTTAAAATAAATGATCTAGCACAAAAAAGGATGCAAATGAAATTCTGCTCCATTTAATGCAAGGTACTATTGTACAATCAGTTGAACGAAAGAAAAAAAAAGATATCTGTGTAAAATATTTCCCCACATCCCCAGAAAAATAAATGGTTGACTCCTTACCATTTACGAGAGATTCAGTAAAACTTCATTGAATTGGAAACCTTGTCACTCTATATGTTATTTCTGCATTATGTTCTTGTCTTTTGTTTGTTTTGTCTGCTTCCTTTGTCCATTGATTTACGGATATATAGATTTGAAGGTGGTTAGATTATTGTTCAACTTTTCTGTTTTTCTATCATGGATTCTTCCATCATTTCTATCTAAGATATTTGAATAATTTACATATACAAATTTTATGAAACTTTGACATTATTCTTATTTCCAATCTAGGCCTCGTATGTAACTGGCCAAGAATTTGTTGTTGATGGTGGATGGAGTATGTAATGGAAGGTGTTGTGATGGACCCAAGAAAATCCTTAAATACAAGAAAAACATTTGATAACCAAATAATCAGTACAAATTATATTTTAATTAATTTTTTTCGAATTTGTTTTTTAAGGGGTAACCAAATTGCCACGAAAAACAAATATTTTACATACTATCAAGGTTAATATTGTAAAACATGTTGAGAATATTGATAATAACTATAATATTTATCACAAAAGTTGAGAGATCATTTTGTTCTTCCAAAAAAATTAGATTGTCCAGGTAACTGATGTATTTTCAAAGTCAACTTGTCTATTTATTTTTTTATATGAAACGTATTTTTCTCATTGTATTATTATATGTTTCATGTCCGTCATTGATAATTCACAAGTTTTGAAAAATTGCCCGTGTTAAAATGTAAACTATACATTTTTTTTTAAATACTTTGAATTCGGTTTTCTCGGAGTTCGATATGTTTGTTATTTTACTTTTTGTTAGTTTTCAGCATTATTAAATCTTACAAACATTTATATATGTTCATATTACAATTGATATTTTGTTAAGTTTGATATATACAATATAAACATGATAAACTATGGTTATATTTCATGTATTTGTCATCATTTTACAATCTTTTAACTTGTAAAAGGAAAATGACTTGACAATGCATGTACATTTGTATACATTTATTTTGTTGTTACGTGATTCATTTGGTTGCCAAGGAACAAACTCTCAATTTAAAGGAGAAAGTAAACAAATAATTATGTGAAGTTGAATATTTAATTTGAACAAAGAGTATATATGTTCTAAAGTAGGCTGTATTGTGTATGATTGTTTTTGATGTCAAACTTCTGAAATTGTCGCAAGCATTTATTTATATTTACTTAACTTTATGCCAAATTAAAATGATTATCAGATGTACTTTGGTGTTATAATTTGACTGAATAAAATGATATAAACAGATATGTTTAGAGTATGAAGTTCAAGATCTTTTAGCTTTGTTGATTTTGTAAATAAGAATGTTTTTTCTCGATGAGATGCATACTAATGGCTTACATGGTGTATATTTTTGTGGCTAATTGATGGTTTTTTTCTTACTGATGTGAATTAAATTGGAAGAAAAGAGCCTATTGTAATATAAAAATAAAAAAAGACATAGTACACATAGTATGACTGCTTTTGAGACAACTTACCACCAGATACCTAATGATGTAGAAGTTATCTCCTATAGGCCACAATACCGTAAAGACAGCTACATGTATGCAAGGCCCCAAAATGACAAATGTTAAACAATTCAAACGGGAACACTAACAGCCTGATTTATGTCCAAAACAATAAACGAAAAACAAATATGACAGAAAGTTGACTAACACTGAATTGCAGGCTCCTATATATTTTCAACTATAAACATTCCTATTTTATTATGACTTACATGTGTTTTATAAGTCAGGGAGAGCAATTTCGAAATGTAATTTTTAACCATCATAACTATAACACGAATGTTTTGCACTACCATTTGTTTAATTCATAACAGTCCGAACATTATTTGTTGTTAATTTTGTCCTCGATAAGTAATATTTACTTGCTTATAGTTTAGTGACCTTAGAATGTTTATATATTTTGTAACAATCACAGTTATATATTTTTAGCGATATTCTTTTATTTCAGATTGACACTAATTGTGGCATCTTCAAAATTATTATTTTATCAGACCCTTTTACACATAATGTTCTCTTAGGATTAAAAAATGTTTCCAATTTTAATTAATCAAGATCACCGCTTTGTGATTGCTGAGGTTTGTAAATGCAGTGATTGCATACAGCAGAATTTATATGATGAAATATACGAAAGACCCACGGAAACACTGACGCAATGCCTTTCATGTTTACCTCCATAACATTCATTCCTTGACGTACCCCTGGTTCATCAACTTTCTTTGCAAACATTGCTGACATTTTATAAAGTCTGTGAGCAGCTGTAAGCTCGTTAATACCGAAGAGTTGGGAAATGTGCATTCCATATGCAGGTGAATATAAAAAAGAAGATGTGGTATGATTGCCAATGAGACAACTCTCCACAAGAGACCAAATGACACAGAAATTGACAACTATAGGTCACCGTACGGCCTTCAACAATGAGCAAAGCCCATACCACACAGTCAGCTATAAAAGGCCCCGAAATGACAATGTAAAACAATTCAGACGAGAAAACTAACGGCCTAATTTATGTACAAAAAATGAACGATAAACAAATATGTAACACATAAACAAACGACAACCACTGAATTACAGGCTCCTGACTTGGGTCAGGCACATACATACAGAGTGTGGCGGGGTTAAACATGTAAGCGGGATCCCAACCCTCCCCCTAACCTGGGACAGTGGTGTAACAGTACAACATAAGAACGAACTATTAAAATCAGTTGAAAGTTTATTTCACGTCAGTATTTCTGATAATCTTCAGCAAAATTAAATATCTTGATTGAAGACTCTTGATTTATGACACTGCCTTATAACTTATATGATAATGATTTAAGGCACCAGATATTCAAGATTGATGTCAGATTGTTAATTTTGATTACCAAAGAGACATTATAAAGACAATTATTATCTTAACCTCAAAATAGGTAAAGTATTATAAATCTGATTATTCCTTTAATAAGGTGAAAGTTGTAAATACATGAAACTATGTAATAAATCATTTATATTGAGTGTTATAAACCAGCCTGAATATGATTTAAGAAATCTAATCAAACATGACAATATATGATACTATCTTGTTCACAATTAAAATAGATGTGGGAGTCTTATTCAAATTAACAGGAAATCTTATTTCATTTTTTAGCACATTGTATAATTGTACTAGGTAGAAATTATCTTGGGTCATGCATGTATAGCAACCATCTTAAACAATACTATTTATAGCAGACAGAGGGAAACGTTTAATAACTCTATCCTTTTATTTAGACATTACAGATAAATTATAGTAGAGAAGATCGTTAGTTTAAATCACAACTAGGCTAAATGATAGGCTTAGCGAATTGATATGTTCCTCATTGTTGCGATACAATTTGATAATCACGAGTAAGAAGTTACTGGTCGCTTGAAGTCAGAATAATGTATATATGGTTAAAAGGATATATCTTTCTGTAGATTTTTATCGTATCAGCAAACAAGGACAATTCCTACTTTTCATATTCGCAGTATCTGAGCATAGAAAATGATAAATCTAAATATTCACTGATAAAAGCTGCATTTCGTTCTACAAATTAAAATTAAAATCCATCAAATATATATAAAATCACCATTTTGTTCGTCAACTTATTCATATGTACACAACATATGAATTATAACAAAATGAGATATATATTAAGAATAAAACATCTAGTTGGGATGAAGAAGATATGGTAAACAGAATGGTTGTGTAAATTTAATCTATTAATCCGCATATACAACATGAAAAATACCTGCTAATGCATTTTTAAGTGATAATCGTTATAAAATGTACAACGAATGGACATACACAAAACATTGTTTTCTTGCTTGATAACAACATAGATTAATGCATTTGTATCCTCATTTATGAAACTATTCACTTTACATTCAGTTTACGTTCTCTTCCTAGTAATGGTGAATCAAGAATAGCGATTCGAATGCATACAACTAATAGTGTTATTTTCATTTCTCTTAAAAAATAAACTTTAAAAATTTTGTATGAATAAAAATTATGATTATTCTGCATTTGTTGAAAAGTGAAAATAAGATAAGATCATAAAGTATGGCTTAATACTGCAGCGATGAGTCGTAATTATCTTGACTATACATACTTTTTCTGGTCATATTCGATTCAATTTGGCGAATCATATTCATTCTATCTTAAAATGGCGAATACATGTTTTGTACTTCTCCTATTTCTACAATATTCACAGTGCTTCTTGAAGATATGTTAACTGGTACTTCTATTATTATACATTATAGTAATGATGTGCTAAGATTCTCTGTTTTCCGACCATGATCAATGAGCATCCCAATACATTAAGCATGTTAAGCCCTCTCTCGCGCACATTAACTTTTTTTTTAAATTCATTATGAAACGAAAAAGAATTTGTCTCGAGTACATCTGTTTTGCATCCGATACAGTGTAAAAAATACTATTAAAAACAGTGTAAAAAATACTATTAAAGTTATCACTAAATCATACAAATGTAAATAAATTTATAAGAAAATCAATTTCGCAAAATACATACAAAACTTTGAAAAACAAAATAAATTAACATCGGACTAGAACATGTAGAAAACCCACATGAACAGAATATGTGTAGTGAAAGGAAGAAACAAAGGCTGGGAAAACATCGGCATACATTTACTATTATAACAACAAAATGTATAATTAGGTACACATGAAAAGATTTCAATGTAGCTGCCAATCATCCTTACAGTTCCTCAAATGAGAATGATAATATTTAGTATAAGTGATTGTTGATTAGAATGGAAGGAATTAAAAACATAAAAGTCTGCAAATGATTCATTTTCTTTTAACCAATGAACGTTCAGTTATTTGTCAGAATCTTTTTTATATTATGCTGATTCTTATTTAGAATAGTATGTCATCCTTCAAAGTACAAAACTGATATAAAATAAACATTTTCCGGGGTCCATTCGCATTAGCCACACATCAAAAACTTGAAACATATGCAAATTAGGCATATATTGGATCAACAACAAATCTTCAAATGAAACTTGAACTTATAAATGTAAAATTTGACAACATTAGAATCTGTTTGGTTTTCTAAGTATTTTGATTGAGCGTCACTGATGAGTCTTATGTAGACGAAACGCGCGTCTGGCGTATCCAATTATAAGCCTGGTACCTTTGATAACTATCAATGCGCACACACATTTAATTTTGTGTACATGTACGTATGTGGCTGCATACAGGTATTCAAGGTGATATATAATTGGACGTTTTTGCAAATTCTACAACCCTTTTTGATTTCATGAGCAAAAAATTGCGTGAAGGCTGCATATTTGATTTTAGTTTTATAATTGCAGAAATGTTTAATTCAACATCATAAGTGATAAAATTTGTAATAATTCATTAGTAACTGTGTAATATACATGGTTATGTTTTGATGAATATGTGATCGTTGAGAAATTGCATAGATATACATGTATGATCGTTGAGACGATATCATGAATATTCAGGTAATGTATGAGAATAACACTATTCATTTCAGGCCTCCCAAGCATTTTTTTATTAACCTACATCATAAGTGCACTCGATGCAAAACTTACAATACATTTGTAAACATATAGTGTAAAACAAATGCAATAACGATAATTTACAATACCCATCATGTTTGTATATCTAAGTTATCTGTATATACTTACAAAATCAATAGTGTTTAAAAACCAAGTCTAGTGTCATAAATTTCTTATTGTTTACTTAGCATATGTTATCTTCAATGTTCGGGGTTTTCCCAAGGTGACCCCCTCCTTATCGACACTTTTGGTTGTAAGGAAATTGATTTTGTTGTCATATTGTTTAATTATGAACCAGAGCTGGTATGCATAAAACTAAAAACGTTTAGGTTTGTTCCGAATGGACGGATTTTTCTACATGCCCTACGATAAATTAGTACTACGATCAAATATCTTACCTCAAGTCGTTTGATGCATATCATCTCAGGTACCCCAGTCCAGTAGAAGAACATAAGGTAATATAATATAGCAATATTAATATTTCGAAGAAGCAGGACAGAAAGTAAAAAAAAAGGATTAACAAACATACAAAAGCAAAACAACCACAACTTAGTTAGATCTCATTTCATTCATGAATTAGCCATTTATATTTTTATCTACAGCTTTAACTTCTCCTAATTACTGGTACTATGAATATGATAGTATTTGATATAATACGTATCAAGAGTTAGTTACTGTCATTGAAAACTTAATATTCAAAAAGTTGTGCGAATTTGATGAAACTATCTAGTCTAGGAGTAGAAAAAACAACTGATGTTTTTGGTGTTTTCAATAATTGTGAGAGTAAACGACCACATCAATGATATTTTGAGTCTAAAACGCGTTCACTTATTCGATGATACAATGAAGACCTTAATAGTAAAATTGTGTTAGAATAGACTTAATACAGTGAAGAAATATTTATAAAACATGCATTATATGACGCTTATATTATCAATCAGGTAGTAAAAAATATCAACAACGCCACGGTATGCGCTGAACATATTTGGATTAGTTAAGTAATAGGGACCAAAGGCAAACTGAGGAAAGGCAGGTTAATTAAAACATGTGTTTTTGTTGACTTTGTTATCATCTGTTATTATTTTATCTCGGAAACACATGGACGTTTCATTGGTTGATGTGGTCTATTTTATTGACCAGTTTTGTTGTTGATTCTTGTAATATTTGTGATGTATAATAATATTTCGACAAGCCTAAAATGAAATACGACTTTTTAATTAAGTGTTCGAAATAAGAAGATATTTGTACAGCCATTAGAATAATTAACCAACAAGGACGGACAAATTTGGACAACAGTTTTCTGATGGCTCATACAGTTAAAAAAAACTACAAATCAAAGTAAAAAGAAAATGTTAGGGAATCACATGCACTCTATAAACAGACATCGTGCATCGACAGTGTAATCGACTCCTGCTATGACTACATCACCCGCCTTATTAATTCACGCTCATTCTAAATTTTACAATTTGATACCCGATATGGCATAGACGGTGCACTTTGATCGTCATTCTTGTTAAATTTCATGTATCTCACTTATTTAATGTTATAGTTAAGATAAATAATAACCCAGTTCATTTATTAGATTTTAGTTTGGGTCAACTAAATTTATACGATATATTTGGTTTACAGTTTGATTAATAAGAAGAAACACCGACATCGCTAGATAATACTATTAATTATCTAATTACTACCCCATTTTATATTAATTAGTATTGTAATTTTCATTGATATCAATAAATGTTATATGAGTATTATAAACCAAATCTTGAATTCTATCCTAATTCTATCCTATTTGGGGAAATTTCAGAAATTCAAATATGACGTCACTTTTTTTGCGTTGATCTCTTTGGCTAACTCGGCTGAGAATTTTTATGTGCTGGTTTATGTTGTTTTATGTATCCGTTTTTATTCTGTAGTTAGTCACCACTTCGGTGTTTTCATGTATATCTATTATATAGTCATTTTTATAAATTTACTGTTTGCTAAAGTATGAGTTATTCTAAATACTATGGATTTTCTTATCCCAGACATATAACCTTAGCCGCATTTGGCACAACTTTTTTGAACTTTTGGACCTCAATGCTCTTCAACTTTGTACTTGGTTTGGCTTTCGAACTTTTTTTATCTGAGCGTCACTGGTTAGTCTTGCGTGGACGAAACGCGCGTCTTGCGTATTAAATTTTAAACCTGGTACCTTTTGTTAGCTATTATTCGTATGTTTCTCTGTCCTATATGTTCTCCCATTTATTTGTATTGTAGTCCTGTCATGTAATGTTGTCCTTTTAATGTTATATTTAACATTGCCATAAAAGCGGGAGGTTTGGCTAGCCACAAAACCAGGTTCAACCCCCAATTTTTTCTTAAAATGTCCTGTACCAAGTCAGGAAAATGGCCATTGTTATATTATAGTTCGTTTCTGTGTGTGTTACATTTTAATGTTGTGTTTCTGTTGTGTCGTAGTTCTTTTCTTATATTTGATGTGTTTCCCTCAGTTTTACCTTGTAACCCGGATTTGTTTTTTTCTCAATCGATTTATGAATTTCGAACAGCGGTATACTACTGTTGCCTTTATTTATTTGAATTTTCTAGTATAAACTCACCGATTAATTTTTCGCCTCCCTCCGCTCGATGGTTATTTCTTAATTTGTCAGGAATTACATCTTTTCAAAAATTGTGGATCTACCCCTGCAATCGGTAAATAAAAAATCTAACGACTAAAACAATATATAAAATACGGAGAAAAACAAACAAATTTCCAGGTAATAAACATGTAACGTATTACAATGTAAAATTACTGATTTTACTAAGACTGTACAATACTACAGGAAGGTTTAATATTACAGATTGGCAAAATTGTTTGTTTATAAAGTTGTTTTCAACTATCCGTTGATCCCTTGTTAAACTTGACGATATCGATTTTAAATCTTGTCATTTTAAAGGATACATAGGGTTTATAACGTGCGGTTAAAATACAAAAATGAAATGTCATTGTTCATATCAATAAGACCTAGATGTCTAGTGTATAGTTGATATTCGTAAAGAAAGTCAAATAAGGTAAGTAGACTAATATTAATATTTAACGCATAACAAAAAACAGTTGTTCAATGATTCGATCAAAATGAGGTATAAATTCCAAATGCATAAACTAACGCTACGAAACCCTTAATTGAATTTTGATAAAAACAAACATGTCATTTATTAAAATATTACACTTAACTCTTCTGAACCGTTTTGTCCTAAAAATTGGAAAACGTTAATATCAGAAGATGTCTGTTTTCATAACATTTTGTTTAACCCAAATCAAACATCAACCAAACATAGACAATATTGCTGTCGATCAAAAATGTAGGACTGTACCTAAATTTAAAAAAAATCCACTTCTGTGTTAAACATATTTCAAAGCACATATGGACATTTTCTAAAGTACAAATGAACATTTTCTTAATACATATGAACATTTTCTAAATACATATGGGCATTTTTCTAAAATACAATATTACAATTTTGAATCTTCAAATTAGGTTATAGAACTTATTTACATTTGCATATCATATTTTCATAATTGAAACTGATTCATGCTTGTTAATACTATGAAAATAAGAACTTTTTTCCTGAATTTTGGAATGTAGACATCGTCTTGTTCGGACCACTTATGTTCTCCTGATTGTTCATAATATATCTGTTAGGACAGTATGCCTTACTTCTAAGCGGTCTACCTAATTTGTCAAGGACATATTCAAATATTAAACTATTAAATTTAGCCGAAGTTTGACAGAAATAAATACTTTTTGATAAGATATTAGTTTCTGTTTCCGACAAACCAACTGAAAACAAATTAACAGTGTGTGTACAGCTCTCACAATTGGTTTTTGTCTTGAATCTGTGATTTTGAGATGTTTTTACGGTTGTATCGATAGGAATGAAAGTTAAAGTGGTCTGCTCTCTTGTATTGATGTCTATAATTATGCCGTCTCGATCCAATATTTGTTATCGTTTTTATTTGAGATACTTTCCTAGATCCAATGCGTAAGATGTCTCGTTGATGGCAATCAATTGAGATTCGGAAAGTACCTAGAATGACAAAAAACATGGCTCATTTTCCCCCATATCCGTGTGAAAGAAAGCGATTTTAAAAATGCATTCTTATACTTAAGACTTATAAAATGTAAACCTGATAGCGTAAAAAGATCAATTACCTTACGAAGTGTAAAACAAACGTGTCGCTACTGAGCTATGACACAGATATATCGCACCAGGCAACTAATTCATGATGGGGATCGTACGAAGTAAAATCACTAAAATACAAAACGCCGAGGAAAATTCAAAATGGAAAGTCCCTAATAGAAATTTAAAATCAAAGATCCCCAGTGATAGCTATAGCCAGAGGGGCTGTAAATGGGAACAGTCACGTGTCAGAGGGATTTTTGGGTTTCGTTCTAAATCAAGGTCCTGTATTGCTTGTTTATGGTTAAACACTTTAGGTGCAATGGTTTTGGTGTAAATGCAGGATACAATGGGAAAAGACTGATTTTGAAAATAAATCTTGTGTTAATTTGGCACTGACAACTCTAAGCAGTTTTTATGAAAGGAGATTACCCCCAGCTCATGAAATCACGAGAGAGTGATTAGCACGAGCGTAACGTATCAATTGATATAAGTAAATGAATTACGAAAATAAGTATATATAAAACTTAAAAATCAAATATCAGGAATTTTCACTATGGGGATAAGGATTTTTATTTTTTTTAAATTTATTAAAAACTAAAGTTTCATAGTTAGTTTCGCATCTGTTGTTGAATAGATTTCTCTTGACAAGCGAAATAAAAATGCACTAAAAGAAGGAAGGTCAAAAAGGTTTGTTAAGAAATTTCTTCTTAGCAGGACGTTTTTTTTTTTCTCTTTCTCTTAGAAATATTACATTTAGCTATATTAAAAATACGGATAAGTGTCATTCAAACAGGACATTTTTCCTTTGAAACATTAATCTTTGACCTGCAAGTACACCTACATATGATTAATATGCAATCTTTATGCAAGGTACATCAGATAAATGACCTTGGTTTTAAATTTCTCAGATTGATATTAGTTTAGGTCAAATAGTAGAGCATCTTTGAATAAAATGTTATGTTTCAATAATATTTCAGGCTGAGTAAACAAATCTGATTTCATACCGAGTGAAATCGGCATGCTCCATATACCATTAAATTGAAAAAGAACATGATTAGCAAATTTATTTTTAAAATTTGTTTTCTTATAATGAATTTGCTTTATTGTAACAATTAGGCTAGCACAACAAAGATATAAAGAATTGCATATTCACAGCAAGAAAATTCTAAATCAGTGTAGTATATAATGGTTTTACATAAGGACAAAAATAAATGATTATCTAATAACGAAAAAGGGAACTTCATAATGTTCTTGAATATAAATATATTCCAATAGTATAAGTTCGTATCCCGGCTAGAAATTCAAATACAAATCTTACTGAATTAATCTATACTGGAAAAGGCCTTCATTTGTATCGTTTAAAAGTATACCTAATTTGTAAACTTATTTTTTTATTGGAATCATTGCCGAATGTAGACAGAGTGGTTATTACAACTTTACATGAGAGATAGATGACTAGTTAGACGAACAAAATACATACGGATGGAAAGACAAGATTATTCACAAGTTTGTGTATGAGGAACATAAACAAATAACTGTTTGGTTTAAAAATGTAACTAACTGGTTTTCGTTTAGTTTGATTCCTAAAATATCACTGTATTTGCAACTTAAATACATTGAAGGTGCCTGTTTTCTTGACAATGTACGAACATTACCGTCAATGAGATCATATAACTGGTCCTAAACGTTTAATAGATCAAACACTTTTATTGTCACAACTATTTTCAAATATATTCCATTGAATAATTTGATTATCGAGAAATATAACGTTTGTGGGTTAATTGTAAACTTGATATTATTTGCCAAAAAAAAAAAGAATTCGATAATGATAAACGTATGACTTTTAATAGGTGTGTTTTGTTTTATAAGATGCATCAATTTCCTAAATTAAGTTATCCTATGCCAGACAGAAGAAGTCATTTTGTTTTATATTGAAACCGTTTTCCTCTTGACCGTTGTCCTACGAAAACTGCTTGTTAGGAGCTTTTGCTAATCGGACAAAATCATGCATATAATAAGCCTTCATATGATACAATGTGTTAATGGTTGCAGAGTAGTAATTTTACAAATATCTTCGTCACTTGACTTATGGATTCCTTTTGATTTATTTGTATTATCACACTAGTAGTTATGGACAGTTCATATAGATTTGAAAGACGTCAATTTGTACCATAAGCTGTCTTTTTCTAATCGTTAGGTTGCCTTTTCACTGACATTCAAAATTATTTCTAAAGGTATATCGAATTTGTTTGGTAGACATAAAACTCTTATAATAAATAATGTATTCTTATTTTTCTTTGATTTAACATTTAAATATTGTGCTTTTCGACCTATACGTTTTGATTGAATACCTTCTTACTTACTATTACAACCAGTATTAATACATTGGGAGGTACTGCAGCCGATGGAATATTTCTACAAACTAATGTTCATTTGTTGGCTGCCAGTTATTTTGTTTGTAAAACAAATCGCAAGAACGACGTGTTTCTAAAATTTGCCTTTTCTTATGGGTGAACATAAATTGCTAACACATGGATATAAAAAAACAGACCAGGAATACAACTGGCGAGTTTTTAAATAAACCTTATTCAACAAGAATGTGTCCATAATACACGGATGCCCATCTCACACTATCATTTGCTATGTTCAGTGGACCGTGAATTGGGGTACAAGTTCTAATTTTGCAATCAGATTAGACAGATCATATCATAGGGAACATGTGTACTAAGTTTCAAGTTGATTGGACCTCAACTTCATCAAAACCTACCTTTACCAAAAACGGTAACCAAAATATTTTACCATAAGCAGGACCGACGAACGAACGAACGCACAGATCGAAAAACATAATACCCCTAGGTTGGGCATAACAACTTTGATGTGATGGAACACATGTTTTTTGGCAACACCTTTCCAGTACAAATTGTTAAAGCTACCAATAATGTTGTACTGTTATTAAAATATTCCAATCTTGTTCTTCTGCAGAAGGTTAAGGCTGAAAGGAATATTTAGAAATCAGTCACTATGTTTGCTTATCATAAAAAAAACACTTGATTCGAAAATACTTCGGTGCACTTTTTAATTTGTTTTTAATTTGCAATCTGCCGAAGAAAGTTTTGCTTATATGTACATATCATAATAACGGCAAAAATGATGCCACTAGTACACCAGAACCTGCTTACTCTACCGGAATACCTGAATTTTTACCCTGTGTTGTAATGTTGCGGTATTTGTTTAGTCTTTGTATCAGTTTTGTTTGGGTTTTGTGTCTTTTTTAATTGTTTGCATGGTATTGACTGTAGAATGGCTCTGTGCTGTTTTCATGAAACTATATGCATCATCGCCTTTTGAAGTGTTGACATTTGGATGTTGAATTTTATCTAAAATAGCGATTCAGGCATAGCATAGGCAGAATTGTAATTTTGTTTGTAAGCATTTGTCAAATTGATAAAAAAAAATCCATTATAAAAACGTGAAACAACATGTATAATTGAACTTTCTGACAAATTGAAATTTTCTTGTAGATGCTTTTGCCGCAGAATATGTGCACAGTGTTTATATTGTCTTGTACATATATGATTGTGAATATAATTACAGTTACAGGTATATAATATAATTGATTATACGGCAGCATTCTGAAATTTTAATAACTTTGGATACAACTGGAAAAGTCAAATGTAAATTAAAAATATAATCACAAATACAGCAGTAAAGCATAATCAAACATGGGGTAAAAGAATTGTATGCAACTGTCATATAAGTGTGAATTTTAGCTAGCTATAAATCAGGTTTAATTCATCATTTTTAACATAGGAAAATGCCTGTACCAAGTAAGGAATATGACAGTTGTTATCCATTCGTTTGATGTGTTTGAACTTTTGATTTTGTCATTTTATTAAGGAGTTTTCGTTTAAAATATTCCTCAGGGTTCGGTATTTTTGTTATTTTACTTTTTTCCAAACTAGCATAATGAAGTAGTAATGTTATATATTATAACAGTTACCTAAATTACACATTTATTTAACACGAAAGAATTAATTGTCTTTAGCAGCCATTTTCAATGGGTTAACTAACTAGTTGAAGAGGAGTTCTTAACACACACACAATCCATATGAGTCACATTTTTATAACTGTAAGCTATGTAAAACTATTTTAATGATTCATCAATATATTTAATTATGCATTTGACATTATTTTTCTTTTGTGCATATTATTTCTAGTTCTTCCTGGATCTGCTGCAACGACAACAACTATAATAACTGTCAATAATTTTACGATAAAACCAACAACTGCAGCTAATGAAACAACTTCTCCTGCTGAACCAACAACGGCAACTACCCATGAGACAACAACGTTAGGTATAACTACTACCAATGACACAACAACGGCATCAACTGCGGAGACAACAACAGCAGCCTTAACTACCTTTACCATTGCGACAACAACGGCATTAACTCAGCTGACAACCACATCACATACAACGACTTCTCTCGATAAACCAACAGCGATATCAACTGAAGTGACAACCACATCACCAACAACGACTTCTCCCGATGCCCCAACAACGGCATCAACTCAGGTGACAACCACATCACCAACAACGATTTATCCCGATTCCACAACAACAGCATCAACTCAGGTGAAAACCACATCACATACAACTTCTTCTCCCAATGCCACAACAACGGCATCAACTCAGGTGACAACCACATCACCAACAACGACACCTCCCGATGCCACAACAACAGCATCAATTCAGGTGACATCCACATCACCAACAACGACTTTCCCCGATAAAACAACAACGGCATCAACTCAGGTGACAACTGCATCGTTTATACCTACTTCACCGGATGACACAACAACGGCATCGACCCCAGATACAACGACATTACCTATAACTACTTCAACCGATGAAACAACAACGATGTCAACTCAGGTGACAACCACATCAGCTTTAACTACTTCACCCGATAAAACAACAGCGGCATCAACTCAAGAGAATACGACATCAGCTTTAATTACTTCTCCCTATATTACAACAATGGCATCAACTTTGGAGACAACGACCTCAGCTTTAATTACTTCTCCCGATGAAACAACAACAGCATCAACTGTGGAGACAACGACATCAGCTTTAACTACTTCTCCCGATAAAATAACGATGCCATTTACTGTGGAGACAACACCATCAGCTTTAACTACGTCTCCCGAAGAAACAACGATCGCATCAACTGTGGAGACAACAACATCAGCGTTAACTACTTCTCCCGAAGAAACAACAATGGCATCAACTGTGGAGACAACAACATCAGCTTTAACTAGTTTTCCTTATGAAACAACAACAACATCAACTCAGGAGACAACGACATCAGCTTCAACTACTTCTCCCGATGAAACAACAACAGCTTCATCTCAGAAGACAACGAGATCAGCTTTAATTACTTCTCCCTATATTACAACGATGGCATCAACTCTGGAGACAACGACATCAGCTTTAACTTCTTCTCCCAATGAAACAACGATGGCATCAACTGTGGAGACAACAACATCACCTTTAACTACTTCTCCCGAAGAAACAACGATGGCATCAACTGTGGAGACAACAACATCACCTTTAACTACTTCTCCCGAAGAAACAACGATGGCATCAACTGTGGGGACAACAATATCAGCGTTAACTACTTCTCCCGAAAAAACAACGATGGCACCAACTATGGAGACAACAACATTAGCTTTAACTACTTCTCCCGAAGAAACAACGATGGCATCAACTGTGGAGACAACAACATCAGCTTTAACTACTTTTCCTGATGAAACAACAACAGCATCAACTCAGGAGACAACAACATCAGCGTTAACTACTTCTCCCGAAGAAACAACGATGGCATCAACTGTGGAGACAACAACATCAGCTTTAACTACTTTTTCTGATGAAACAACCACAGCATCAACACAGGAGACAACGACATCAGCTTTAACTACTTTTCCTGATGAAACAACAACAGCATCAACTCAGGAGACAACCACATCCTTTATTACTACATCTCCCGATGAAACAACAATGGTATCGACTCAGGAGACAACGACATCAGCTAATTGTACTTCTCCCGATGAAACAACAATGGTAACGACTCAGGAGACAACGACATCAGCTAATTGTACTTCTCCCGACGAAACAACAATGGTATCGACTCAGGAGACAACGACATCAGCTAATTGTACTTCTCCCGATATTACAACAACACACAAACTCAACACTAAAACTACAAAACAACTAACAACGTCATCACCTCTGAAGATCACAATGACTACAAGAGTTGCAACAGGTAGATAACTTGGTTACTCAATGATTTCTGACCATTTCGAAAATAGTTTGAAACAAAACAATATACATAATGGAAACAATGTACTTTCATATATACATATAGAGTAGTCGATGCTTAACCTGTCGACACATCTGGTGACTCTACTTTTGGAGATTATATTATTTCCTCAGTTATAGTTATTTACCTTATCTTCCGAATGAGTATATATGATTTGAATTTGGTTAATTACTGTTGCTTCTACAAAACGGTTTATGTTAAAATCCCTGTATTCTCTTTGTTATCCCTATTCATTTGTGTTTCCGTTTTTCTTATTTTGTATGTTATTGTGGATATTTTTATAATAATAACAGGTTATCCGTGTTTTTTTTTTGCATTGTTTTAGCTATTCTACATATTTAAAAGAAACCGTTTACATTAAATTTGTCCATTCTTTTTTCAAATATAGTATGCTATACTACATATCTTAAATAGATAGTAATTTCGGTAACATACTTATTATATGTGACTAGAAATTAGGTCAAATTTGTTTTATTGTACATCACAGATAATAGTCAAATGCCTGATAACTTTATAGATAGACGTGTAATGTTATATTTGCATTTATCTAACCAATTGATTGTGAACTTAGATTTACTTTATGCATAATGATATGGTTATTTAAACTCACTTACTTTACCTTCAAATTAAGAAAGTCTTAAATTTTTAAAAGGCATTTACACCATAGTGCAAGTTCGAGAAACAATAGTTAAGCGTGGATGTGTGATGAGATAATTACAACATTTATGTACGTTTCTTCAATTAAGGTTGTAGGTGTTCCTATGGACACTATTCTAAATTCCATTGAAATGATAAACAGATGACAAAAGATATGTTCTAATTTTATTATCTTTAATACTGTGATCTTTTGTCAATTGCGACATCACCTAAAGTAACCTTTGCATAGATGTTTACATGCCATGAAGATTTCAAAACAGGTAACTTCTGAACCTTTCTATTGATACCCGTAAGAGCACCTGAGATCATTTATACAATAAACACATCTAAGTCATATCAATATACTGTACAGAGACATCATAAAATCAAAGAGACGTGGTATTATTGTCAATGAAACTATAATTCACCAAAGTTCAAATGGAGTTGATGTCAGCAATTATAGGCAACCGTATAACCTTCAACAATGTAAAAAACCCGTACCGTTTAGTCGGCTATAAAAGTCTCCGACATAATATATGAACAAGCAACAAACACTGAACCACAAACTTATGACTTTGTACAGATATATAGATCATATGGAAAGGTTAACATGGTTAAAAATGTTTTAAGACACGGAACCCATTAACAACATAGGAAAGTGATGTAACGGAACAATATAAGAACAAACTATTAAAATCGGCTCATCAGTTCGAAACAAAGCAGAACAAAATAACATCTCCTGAAAAAACACAGACCGACGTAGTAGGGTATTTATACATTCCTAACAACAGAAATAACACAAGGTATATAGATCTGCGAGTACTTACAGTTACTGACAGACAGTGCAATACAAATAACAACTAATAAAAATTAATCATGATTCTTACATGTTTCTTTTGTAGCCTATTGTCCAGAAGAAATATTTAACAATATTATATGGTCACAGATAGTAGCAGGACAAAAAGACACACAACAATGTCCACCTGGATATACAGGTATTTCAAGTAAATGTAAAAACATAAAGAATAATGATAATAACATTAAGCTATTGGAGTATTTTTTCTACTAGACATACGCGTATATAAAACATTGAGTGGTATTGTTGTCCACTCGTTTGATGATTTATATTAATCTTTGTTCTCACTTGTAGGTAATGTCTTTCGAAAATGCAACGACAACGGTGATTGGGAAGCTCCTGTATATATAGAATGTGTTAATATGGCACTTTATGAAACATCTGAAAAGGTAATTGTTATATTCATTTTATTATTAGGGCCTCATAACTTCACTGAAATCTCTTTATCGACGTGTTCTTATATTTGATTTATTCTAAAATTTATTTATTCTGAATTCAGTATTTGGAAATGGCCTGCTGCTTATGCTAAAGTAAACTTACATAACGTATAGGTATAGAATATTTATGGCCCAGTTGACCATGGATATATTTTACTTGTCTTGTCAAAGCTACCTTTCCATCATATTCATAACTTGATGTTCAACTTATTTCCGACTGTTTACTCATAATGAGCAACACGACGGATATCAAAAGTGAAACAGGCACTGCCCGACTTCTGAAGCATTCGAGTGAGCCTCTAAAGCACTACCCGACTTCTGAAGCATTCGAGTGAGCCTCTTAAACACTGCCCGACTTCTGAAGCACTCGAGGTAGCCTCTAAAGCACTGCCCGACTTCTGAAGCATTCGAGTGAGCCTCTAGAAATATGTGGTTAATTGTATTTTGCCTGATTTCGCCGTTATATTTATTGCTATGGTATCGATTGTTTTGTTTTGTATTTTATGCATGTATTCTATTTTACATAACAGAAACTTCAACATGAAGTTACTTTTTAAAGAAATCAAACTCCCTTTTCACTTCAATGTAATATAACAATTAGAAAAAGTCCAATTGTAATCATCACAAAATGACTCATTGACATATATATACGATTATGATTAACAAATTATCGAAACAATATTTATATTGTAGCTGAATGATCTTGAAAACAACACTGATCCTGAGGAAGCAACAGAAGTTATAGATGACGTACTGAATATTATAAATAATAATACTATTGGGAACGAAAATCCTCCTACATCTGGAGATTTGAAACATACCACTAATATACTGTCTCAAATTGTCGGTTTAGGGGCATCGAAAAATGCGACTGTTGATTCAGAGGTATATTTTCATCTTTTTCACAAGCAAAATTAATGTATCAAGTAAATCTATGTACTATAAAATTTGTAGACCAAATATTTTTAGCCGGTTTGTCTCCGAACCGACACTCTTCTGCATAACTTAATTAATTAAACACCAAATAAAGTTCCATAGCTGGTTCCTCACCGTCTACGTGTTGTAAGCTGGCGGAAATGTTTTTGTATTCAATTTGTCTCGACCCACTTCCAACTCGCACCACTCAAACACTCTCACTAAGTATTACAACTTGCATCACTTTATCAAACTCGCACCACTGAAAAAAAAGATATATAACAAACTCGAAGAAATGTGTTTAATCATTGTTTTCTTCTCACTTAGTTAATTCCTCCTTTCTCGGAGCACCCGTGTTATACAGAGACAGAACTCGCATCACTAGAAAAAAAAAAATACTATATACTCGCACCACTGAAGAAATGTATAAAATAATCTGAGAGTTCTAGATTGTCTTCTCTTAGTTTTTTCCTCCGTTCTTTGAGCATCCGTATCACACAGAGACAGAAATTGACTCGCATCTTTCGAAAAAACAAAAACTACAAACTAGCACCACTGGGAAATATTTTAATCATCAGTGTTCTGGGTTGTCTTCTTCTCCGATTTATTTCTTCCGTTCTAGGATCACCTGTGTAACACCGAGACAGAAGCTACTAATAGGACATTCAAACTCCTATGGAAGAAGAACTGACAAACAAATCATAACTATCAACATAATGCATCAGTGCATAAAACAGTTTGAGAAACAAGAACCAAAGCTGTGTATCACCATAAGCAGTTCGAGTAGTCTTTAAGCCGCGCTCGCGTTTGTTTTATCTAGTATGATCGAAATGGGGTTATCTACGTATAATGAATATTGTAATAAACACTCGTTTTTATTCATATTTTAACAACAGTCTCTTGACTATTTGGACAAAGACTTTTGACAAATACCATTTGTTGAAAACGTTTTTATTTTTAATTTTTGATGTATTTTTTTTATGGGGGAATACATGTATGTCTTATAATGATGATGTTTTTCATTTAAAGTTTTAAGGGATTTGACTCTCACACCAATTATTGAATCCTTAAAACACATTTCATATAAATATGGTATAAAACAAACATATATATATCTAACAAAAAAATAAAATTATAAATGAATTTGATAGAAATCATTTATCATTTTAGAAATTCGGAGATGTTTTGAATTCAGTTTTGGATACAGATAATAGCGGTAGCTGGAATGAAGTTAATTCGGAGGTAAAGTTCGTATAAAATAATCAATTTTTGTATGCAATTTACTATACGCAGCTTTTCAATTTCAATCATTTACCTAAAACAAAAAAGATACAACGTAGATACAAGTATCTGGTCTTTATAAGGGATAATTCATACTTTGTAATAAATCTTTTTGGTTCAAACAAAAATTTCTCTGAAGCTAAAAATATAAAGATGCTTGATTGCTTGATTACATATTTGTTGCAATTGGAGGACGTGTTTTTCAACAAACAATCGGCATTTCCATGGGAACCAACTGTGCCTCTCTGCTTGCCGACTTATTTATTTGTTCACATGAGGCTGATTTCTCACAGGAATCTCTTAAGAAGAAATAATTTTTTTTTAGCAATACCCTTGTACTCTACTTTTCGCTATATAGATAATGTTCTCTCACTAAATAATTCAATTTTTGGTGACAATGTTTAACGTATCTATCCCATCGAACATGATATAAAGGATACAACAGATACAGTTAATTCTTACTCATACCTTGACTTTCATCTAGATATAGACAATGAGAGTCGGTTGAAAACAAAACTTAAGGACCAACGAGATGATTTCGGCTTCCCCTTTGTGATAGTTCCATTTCTATGTAGCAACATTCCAACAGGGCCTGCAAATGGAGTATATATCTCTCAGGTGATACGATATTCAAGGGCTTGCATATCTTCTTTTTGTATCTGTCGCCTCTCTTTTACCTCCCATCTAAATATATTGCTTTCTGTAAATGTAAAAACTTGGCAAACGAAATTCTCACTAAATCATTTTAAAAAAAAGCGTGTAAAATTGTTCATCTTGACAAAATTGTGAAATTTAAAATATAATAGATACATGTACAAATTAACGGCATATCCACTTGTGATGTCATCTGTAAAAATACAGGGATGACGTCAACTTCACCACTTGGAACTCTTGGTTAAATAGCTATTCTTAATAGGAAAACAAGCCTTGGAATAAATATCCAAGAGAGAACTGTCTGCGTTGTCCGCCATGACACACTATATTCGCACGGAATAAGCTACATTGCGTATTTAAATTTGGTTCTTTACCCGGAATAGGAAAATGAAGAAAGCAACATTTTTCTTTTTATCATAAATAACTTGAAATCGTTTATATTTTTGCATCTGTCTTTGAGAACGATATCATATAAATCTTTACAGGAACAATCGGAAGAAGGTGCATCAAAAATTATGGGAATAGTAGAAAGTCTTGGTAGTCTCGTTCAAAAGAATTTACTACCTAATGAAACCAAAATCATCAACAAAACAAATTTAGGTAAGCTTACTCACCAGTATACAGTCTGAACTATATGAGTACAAGCAGTGATACTTTTTACTATATAGATTTTACTTGTGAAACAAACCATAAACTGATGAAGAGAAAAAAAAGATTATGTATGCGTTAGGGGTATGTTTGATTTACGGAAACCTTTCCTTTGCAAGATTAAATTGGATCATAAAAAGATGAAAATAACACTAAGTAATTTTATTCGTCTGAAGGTTTTCTTGATTTAACTCCATCAGTCAAAGCCGAATACTATGAAAGATACATATTCCAACGTCGATATGTCATGCTTCCAAACTAGAATGCTGAATTTCCTCGGGGTACAGTATTTTTGTGATTTTACTTTTAAAACGGTATTAATGTGAGGACTTTAAAACATGAAGCCAGACTGATTAATATAGAAAATGTTATTGAGGTGATGGTTATTTAGAAAATTATACAAATCTATAACAAGAAATCAAATAACTATCATTTTCATCCACGAAATAAATGGAATTTCAATTATTTTCAGTTATAGAGGTTTCAACAATGAAGAAGAACCTTACTTTCCCGCCAGATTCAAATTCGATGTCAAAATTGAATCTTGCAGACCAACTATCTCTACAAGGTATATTTAAATTTAACAAAATGTTTTTTAACTGCCCTGATTGTGTTAATGCATTAAATTATATGCAAAATAAATAATTTTTAAAAGAAAGAGAACACATCTATTGATTGAAAAGTAATTTTGCAAGAGCGGTGCATTTATATTTTTATAACTTTGAATAACACTTATTCCCTTTAAAAAGTATGACCGGGACAAAATCATATGATATGTTCTCCCGGCACCACTAAACATCGACAAATTGTTTATTTCAATGAAAACGATAAAAAAAACAAAAACAAAAACATACAAAATCAAAACAAAACTAAACCACCTTGCTCGTCGAAAACGGGAAGACACCATGGTGTGTAAGTATTCCTTGTCTTTCTTATAAATACTTTGCTACTAACAATAACCACAAAAAAACCCTAAATAGTTATCAAAGGTACCAGGCTTATAATTTTGAAACGCCAGACGCGCGTTTCGTCTACATAAGACTCATCAGTGACGCTCCGATCAAAAAAGTTAAAAAGCCAAACAAGTATAAAGTTGAAGAGCATTGAGGATCCAAAATTCCAAAAAAAGTTGTTTCTAAAATTTGGAAAGGTACATGTAAGTTTTGAAATTTAAATGCAGATCAATTTTCCGTCAGTTTATCAGTTTGTTATTAGCATTGAAGACTGTACACTTATATTATAATCAATATTCTTTCAGATACACTTTACACAGCGGCCCTCTACAGGACATTGTCGGGTATACTTCCAACAACACCAAACAGGTATGGAATTTACGTCTAAACGACTACTTTACATTAGGTAAAATAAAGCCATTTATTTTAATTTATAAAACATTCTTCGTCATCGTTAACCAACAAGACCTTCCTCATATAGACTATTTGATCACTTTCTTCTAATGTCCAAGGAATCAAATTCAGTGGTTGTCGTTTGTTGCAGTTTTTGTTCATTATTTGTACATGAATCAGGCCGTTAGTTTTCTTGTTTTAATTGTTTCACATTTGGTTTTTTTTCCGGGCCTTTACAGCATACTATATGGTATAGGTTTTACTCATTTTTGACGTAGAGTGACCCATAGTTGTTAAATTGCTGTGTTGTTTGGTCACTTGTGGAGAGTTCTCTCATTGGCAATCATACCACAACTTCTTATTTTTGTAAAGACTATTTAAGCTTTAACTACAATGTAGCTGTACATATGTGTACAGCATTCCGGCAATCTATTCATATCTACACAATTTTAACACTCCAAAGACAGAATATGTTTGTTTCTTTAAGTTGTCCTGACCCGATGAGAGTTCAAAAACATTTCTTAACTTATTTTATCAAGGCCAATATGTTCGTTTTAGATCAGTTGGTTCTGATGTGATTTCCGTATCATTTGGCCAAGATATTGACATCTTAACAGAAAATATTACAATCAGATTTGAGCAAAATAAAAAGGTAAATTGTACACTGACTTATTTTTAGTAGTATTGTATATTTTAAAAGAGCAATAATTTGCAAGTTTATAAAGTTAGGTGATTGTAGTAAAACATTAAAACATATTGTACATAATTCATAGTCATTTGAAAGGAAGTAAATAATATTTAACAGCATAAACGTATGATTTCGATCTTTGTTAGAACGATACGTGTTCCCCTAAATACCTTAATAATGTACAACCGAGACCTAACTTCTAGAAAGACAAATCCTTTAAAATTTATGCAACACATGAACAAAACAAAGAAAGGCATTAAAACATTAGTCATAGTTGTTAAAGGTCAACTTTTCCTTATGAAACTGTAAACTTGGTGTTTGGTGAGATACACGTCTTTACGCTACATTACAAACCTGCTCGTGCATTTTTCATTGTTATTCAACGCAAAATAATTATCTAAGATACCTGGGACGATCTCATTTCACAAAGAATTTCTATTGTCTACTTATTGTACCTCGAACTGATTTACCGTTGTAGGTCTTTAAGTTGAGGTTCAATTTACTAAAAGTTAATCGGGCATGACTAATTAAATACGCCCTCTTAAACTCAGGGGGTCCGAAGTAGGATCGGGAAAACACCCAGCAAAATACCATAATCAGTTACAATTTTAGAAATTTTGGGATTCAAAGTGCTTTTAGTTGCTTTAATATCTCCGGTCAATAATCAAACGGTATTTTAGTAGAAATACTAACCTGTCCCGAACCGGGAGATGATGGCTGCAATAGGAATTTATTTACAAAAAGAGTCTACATCTCATTTTCTTATAATGGCCATTATTTGCCACTGGACATAAAGGAGCAATTAATTAATCAGCTTAATTTAGTGATGTATAATTATATGTCTTCAGTTGATAATTGTCTCAAACAGTTTTCCAATTTTTATATAATTCATTTTCATTTACATTTGAATTTTTAAGCGTAAATCTTTGCATTTCTTCCATCATTTTTCTCTTTGCATTTAATCTTTTTTTTAACATTAAAAAACGTTGTCGTAGTACACATAAGAGGTTACATTGTATCCTATCCAGCAGTTTTAAGTTTATTTATATCTCAGACTGGTGTAATAGTTGTCATAAAAGCAAAAATGGATAAGGAAATGTTGACAACAATTTATATAAGGATTCAACTTATTTTGGGCGTTTCATTTATCTATCTTTTAGATATTGTCTTGCTGATCGGTTTTGTTAAATTTTTTTTCATCTACTATTGTCCTAGCAAGACATTTAAAAAATGTGTTAAAATCAGCCATGCGACTTATTTAAATTGATTTAGCTGACATTTTTGTTGTTTACACCTTTCAATCATTCAACTCGTGCGTAGATCGTATTTCTCTCTTATGTTTTTAACCTACAGGGCCCGTATGCATAAAACCACTTAAGATAAGAAATCCAATTGTAGTACTAATTTATCGTTGCACATGACGAAAAGTCCATCCGTTCGGAACAAATCTTAACTTAAGTAGCTTTATGCATACGGACCCTGATAGCGTAAAATTCTCACTACACCAGGCATCGGATGTACATTCCTATTTCGATCGGACAAAGCTGCGTATTTATATATCCGATAAGCCAAACAAATGCATCCATATAGTAAAGGTATACTGTGGTGCAGGAGAGGTCCAGAGATGTCAATATTTCTATACCCAAGTGAATCATTTGGTTTTGAATAAAAGGAGATAAAGGTATATATTAATGCGAAAGCAACCCAAAGATACAGACAAATCAAAATATTTAGAGTCAACATTCAGACTTTTTATAGAAAGATGCGTATACAGAATAATAAGCTCAAAACCGCCCCATCACTAAATAATATACTGACCGATTTTAGAAACGCAACACTAGATTATTCTTTTTATTTCCAATTTTCAAATATGCAATTTTTGTTAAACAAACTTATGAACAGAAATTTCTCTCATTACTTCATTGTTTAAAAAAAAATGGCATTTCGAAAGTTATATTGATTACGTCATTTTTAATGTTCGAATCATGTGGTATACACTGAGACCCTTGTTTTCCCGTTACCAACGAATGTGTCACCGTCAAAAGCAATGACTGCCTGTAACCAACGCCAAAATGATTGGCAGAAAGGTCAACCAATTCTGTTATGCATGTTTTGGGTTTTGTTTTGCACCGTCTGATTTTGCCTTTGTTCCACCCATTACAGTGTGTTTTGGCAATTATGCGGGTGAAACTTTAGGGCTTCAAATGTTTTTCTGCAGTCGATCCTTTTGCAGTTGAGTTTATGGGAAACATTAATGGCATGAGTCTGTGCGCAATGGCTATCTGCAATTTGATTAGCAGTTGACGGTACGGCCGTAAACATGTCTCGAAAATGACGTTGTGTAATAAAATTCTATTGACGTTGCAATGTCACTAGATGTTGATCTGGTCATTGATGGTCATCAACAGATCCCGTCTACCTTTATCGTTGTCGGAAGGACAGTAAGACAAGTTTCTGACGTCAAATTGTCTGGTTGCAGCACGTTCACGTTTTTTTATTTGCAGTATTCTTATGGGCTGATTCAGTTTTTTATTCCTCATTCTTGGCAATATGGAGATGCAACATTTTTTAACTGATTTAAGTGTGGCCAAGGATTGAAAGAACTGTTTCACGAAGAACAAAAACTGAAATCTTCTTTTATGGGTTCCAAATTTCGCTTTAAGAAATTCGTGCGACTTGAATAATCCGGTATGTTCAATAACCACAGGTAAGTCAGATGTTGATTTTTTCTAAAAAGAAAGAAGTATGGTAAGAGTGAATAGTAGTTGTATGAGGATAAAACATGATTTGGCTAAAAAAAAAATAACAAAATGAGTGTTGCGTTTTTAAAGTCAGTCAGTATAGTTATACGGAGGTAATTCAATAATATTTTTACCTTCAAAAATTATATATCCCAAAAGGCACATTTGATTTAATATTATATACCGTCAAAGATATTCCAACAATCACAATTGTTTGGTTGAAAAATTTCACCTGCCCTATTTTAATTTTGATCGGTGAAAATTTGAGAAGTTGTAATGTAAACCAGTAGAAGAAAACACTTCACTGTATAATATAACGGTAAAATAAATGATGATTTTAATGGATGACGACCAGCGGCAAATCAAATGAATATTCAGGACGATAACATGACTTTTGTATATATAATATGAGTATTAACCCCGCTTTTTACTAGACTGACACGCTGAGTCGGTTTTTTTAACGTGTTCACAAAATATTAGTTTGCAGGAAGAAAAGTCACCCGACCCGGACACATTTCTGACTCTGAGCCGACCAGTTTGTGCTGTTTCTCTATGATGCCACGAGTTTAGCGCTGAAAAAGTAAATGCCAATTTTAACGTCTTTGTTTGACCCGGTCGGGATTCTAACAAAAGACCTCCCGCTCTCGAGGAGAACACCCTAGCTCACATGAGACCAACCAGGAGAGCGGTAGTACAGAATATCATACCAAAAACTCAAGTACAATAAACAATACAGTTTCACAGAATTCTCACAGTTACTAAAGCGAGCTAAAAGTATCTAACCTAAATTGGATGCGTGAAATGATATTGTAAACTACACGTAAACATCGATGAACGACTTCAGAGAAGATTTCATGGATCAACGCTCTCTGCAAATTAAAAACTCTTGCACCTATTATTTGAGTGGTCCGAATGTGGCCACCTGTTGCAAGTTTTAATTTCTGTCCTTATTCAATATACCCTCATTTTCCAGTAGTATTTTAAAGTTTCACGTCCAAACTCACTGTCGACCTATTGCACGACCTACCTATTGTATTTAAAATTTATGTGTTATAGTCATGAACATGCATGAAATATTTGCCACTGGACGTAAAGAAAACAACAATCAATCGACTTCATGAATTGGTCCATGTACTAGTACTTAGCACACAAAGACAAGATCTTGTAAAATGCTATAATGTACAATTTGAATTTAAACTTTTATGTTTTTTTTGTGTTTTTTTTTCTTCAATTTATTCCATAACTGACTGCTTATAAAAAAGTTTTGAATATTTTTTTTTCTATGGTTCTTGTCTACTGTTTTAATACGATTTAAAACATATGATTTTTTTGTCAGGCAAGGATAAAATTAAGAAAGGTAAAAGTTTTTCCGGTGTTTTTGCTTCATTTAGACCTAAAAAGGGAATAACGGACGATTAAATTAAAAGTTTGTTTTTACATAATTCATTGAACTTGCGAAAATATCTCACCTAAACACGTTTTGATCAGGCCAGTGAAACCTAGTCTAATACGATTTTATTCATTGAGGTTTGCATGCATAGTTTTTATTAAAAAAAAAAACAAAGCAAGATCTATTAATTAATTGGACTGAATAGACAACACTAATTATTTTGCATTGGCATGTAACGTAGTGTAGGAAAATTACCGAATCAAAAACAAAATGAACATTTACCGGATGAATATTGTGAAGGACCCTATGTATCTAGGTCTGTTCGATTAGAAGTTCTGAAACAAACTGTTTAAAAAGCTAATTGTTGGAAGAGTGTACTTACTTTTTTCTAAGGTCTGGTGTTTACGAATCTATTTCATGATTACTTACAGATTAAAAGCATCAAATATATATATAACAAGAAGTTGTTGTGCAGAATATTCATTGGTCAGTTATAAATGAAGTCTTTATAGGGTTTTGATTGCCTCATTTATTAAATAAAAAATCGTTATTTTGAAAAGCTGGATTCAAAAATATAAATTTACGCCTTAATTTTGTAAAACTATCATTTGGTTTATTTTAGTGCTAAAAGAATTATGATAAATAAATAATTAAATGATGTACTGCCATTTAATCGGTCCGTTTCCATTGCAATTTGGTAACTGTTAATTGTATATATCAGTCTGAGTATTGTTTAACTATCATTTAAGTTGAAAAATTTAGACTCGTCCAATTCAGGTGAATTAGATTTCTGCAAGTGCTTTTTGTGTACTTTTCTTATGTTTTTGACGGTTTGTAAATCAGTAAAAGTTCAATGATTAAGCTAATATTGACATTAAAAGACCTCCTCACAAAAAGGGCTGTTCAAATCCCCTCGCCCTTCGGGCTCGGGGATCTGAATATCCCTTTTTGTTTGAAGGTCTTTTAATATCAATATTAACTTATCATTGAACTTTTATTATTACATAATGCACTGTACGATGACATATAGTTGTTAATTTTCTGTGTCATTTGGTGTCATCTGGAGAGTTGTCTTATTGGCAATTATACCACATCTTCTGTTTTATATATACTGTCAGAATACATAGTTCCAGTCATGCCAATTCCGCAGGCACTAGTCACTGGGCGAAAGATACGCTCTACCAACAACAATGGTGCGGTTTAATTGAAATATATGTTATCAATGTTCATGTGTTTAATGCGTATAGCTGATATAAATTTGCAAACACATTAAATGTAAGCAATTCTTAAATAGCATGAAACGATAACATTGTAGACTCACCCGGTCTCTTTCTATCCTATCCTTTATTTATATTCTATCCTTATTTATTTGCCAGTTGTATCATGAATTTTATTGTAATTGACATTATATTGTTGTCCCGAACTACAGGTGCCATTCACAGATCCAAAGATATCTTGTGGATATTGGAACTTCAGGTATATGTTTTAGTAATAGTCTTCTTATAGCGGGAGTAACATTGGCGTTGTCCGACCGATATAATCGTTACAGTTATCTCAGCTCCTGTCGAAATATGTACAGATATATTTCGTATCATAATTTTTAAGTTTATGAATTAAACCGATTTTTGGATCTCCAACCCTTTTTGATGACACTATAATTATGCTATTTTACTTTGTATTTCAATTGAGAATAACACTTCGATTCCTACCTTCTAAATTATAAAATGGTTTTATTGTTTTTTTATCATGAACTTTATTTGGTTTGACTGTATCGTGTTGTCGATCTTCAAATGACTCGGATAATCATGATTCTGATTCTGATTTTAATTGAATTATATTTTCGGGGGATCTTTGTGGAGATTAAAAAAAATTAAAGTAAAGCATGTCATGGACATTGTTTTGTTTTCAACCTGTTCATGTCTTTTTTAACAATTGTCTGAACTTTGATTATGTTTCGATTTATATGTGGATATTTTTCAGTGCTAGAAGTTGGGCTAATAGCGGATGCTATCTGACAAAAACTGAATCTAATGTTTCTACATGCACATGCAATCATTTAACAAATTTTGCCATATTGATGAGTCCCAGTGATTTTGAAATTGTAAGTTTAATTTACTATACATATGTATAAACAAATTGTTGTATGTTCATATCAAATTTCTGTTGACAACTATAAATATCACATATTATTCTTATAATACCTACATGTACACGTTATAAATTTCATGCGTCCAAAGCGCTTTTTTTTTGGAACTACTTTCATCAGGAATGCTAAAAAGAGTAAAAATATATTCATTAGGTTTATTTGGCCCTTCTTTTTATGATACCAGAAAGAAAGAGACTTTTGATCTTTAACTACGGTATCGGATTGTCGCCTTTCAACTGTATTGATTTTAGACGAAACACGCGTTTTGGGTACTGAATTATCAGCCTGGTATTATTGATAACACGGATAATTTAAGAAGCGAATTGTTGCTTTTATAATGTACCTTTATCACTATTTAGGTTTTAAAATATGTAATATTTGCTGACGACATTTAAGATTTAAATAAAGCGCGAGGTTGGGCTAGCCACAAAACCAGGTTCAACCCACCATTTTTTCTTAAAATGTCCTGTATCAAGTCAGGAATATGGCAGTTGTTATCTAATCGTTCGTTTCTATGTATGTTGCATGGTCATTTGTTTTTTGTTGCACTTCAGTGTTCTGTTGTTTCGTTGTTTTCCTCTTACAGTTGATTCGTTCCCTCGGTTTAAGTTTGTAACTCGGATTTGTTTTCTCTAAATCGATTTATGACTTTTGAACAGCGGGATACTACTGTTGCCTTTCTTTAGCCTTACTTATTTATCTAACGTAAGATTACTGATCTAAGCAACGATTGCATATTATTTAATTCACGAAATATTGCAGTTGGAAAGCAAGTCCTTGGAAACGTCCGTTGTCGTTAAGCTCTATCAGCAACAATAGCAGGGGGAATAATTAGGTGGCGCTACAGTCGTCCGTGACGTCAAAAAATCCGCCAAATCAATCGGCTAAAAGATTGACGTTTAAAGTATGTTTTTTAACTTGTCATGCTTTTATTATAATTGATTTTTAAAATTTGTAGGTTTTGCGACCAATATAGTTTCAATACGACATACAAACATTATCAAAAATAGCTTGTAATTGCTATTTCTTTATCCTGTCTTTCTAAAAATTATCAGCCATCTTTTTTGTTTGCCAAAAACATAGATTTTTAATAACTTGACGTTTGCGTAACCAAATAAGGAAAAGAACGATATTTACCTTAAATGAAACCAGGTAACCTATTTCAAATTTCTACACAAATTTAAAGCCATAATTTTTTACTGTAATACATCAATTGTAGTGACCACCAGTCATGTCAATTTGTACCTGGTTTTAGCTGCGTTTCTTCTTTAAAACCGTGGAGTTCAACTTCTTTTCATTGTACCAGTTTCCAAAGTACTCTAAAATACTGATTTTATTAAAGATATGAATGAAATTGTGATTAAGAATTGTTGTTTTCACAATTCCATACGATACATCCATTTCAAAGTAATTAAAATCCTTTTTGATCCCCTTCATAAATTGACGGTGACATTGTTTTCTTTTTTCAACATACGTCATATAACGTTAACAAAATATGTGTCAGGGTGCATAGTTAAAATTGTATACTTCGAAAAGTGAAACAACAAACAAAATTCTTCTTTATTGTGTTTGAAACTATGCGTGTTAGAAAATTTCATTCATACTGGCAACAAATATGACAAATTAATGATAGCCTATGGATGGACAAAAGCACAAAAAATAGCAATAGAAAATGCATTGTAATTTCTGAAGGAAAACATATATGATATAAAGAAAATGAAGGTCAGTTAATTATATTTATATTTATAAGTTAAAAACCTTGCTTATTTAATTATCTCTTTACTAAGTAAGCTACATTAATAAGAGCAAAAACTAGCTTATCAAGTCAAACAAAAAGTTAATTCATAGAGATGTGTTCTTAAAAAATTTAATTTATTCAAATGACGAATTCTTGTCAAATTAAACAATCCATTGATCAATAAGTAAAATGCACAAGATTTGTCCCACCAACTTTCATTTCATTTCTGAGATAAACATCCAATTATTCAGGTAAAATATACAGTACTTTGTTTATAAATATGTAAAGCAGCTGATACAGCAACCTGAACAGAAAAAGCCCCATTTTTCTTTCAAAAGATTACTTTTATAATCTATAAAATACCCTGAGAAATTAGACAAGGGCTACTGTGCTAGCTAATCTAAATGTTGATTTTACAATAATAATGATTTTGAAATTCAAAACTATGTCACTCTCACTTATAATTTTAAGCATTATTTTTTAACAGAATTTCTGTCAATATTTTTGGTAAACTTATCTTTTTTCTGTTGGATATTTTCTATGCAGTACTGTACTGTTCAACTAAGAAACATAGGCTTGATTTTAAAGGCTCTTTTACTTTGAAGAAACTTATTGTGACTCTTGGTCCCACTTCATAGAATATGAAATATAAATGATCAGTACTATTCATTATTTTCATTTTAAGAAAGATTATTCAAATTGTATAAAATATGTTTCATTACATTAAACATTATTAGAAGTGTTTACAAAAACTTCTACTAAAAGTGATCCCATATACCATTATAAAAATTACAAAGTAAATTCATCAGCCAGAGCTAATTTATATCAATATAGTTAGGTTTCTACATATAGGTGAAATTTCTGACCTTTTAATAATTTTTTGTCTTTCAATTTTACATCTAATCCTTCTCTGAAAAGTAGGGAAGTATCACTTCTTAATATTATAATAACATAGTCTTAAATCAAATTTCGTTTATTTTCTTTCTGATATTTGTAAAGTAAACTCCTTTTTATTCATTTTGCCGGGTTTTTTATTTTTGACTGGTGATATCAAGGGGAGATAACAACTTGCACAAATCGGCAAAAAAACACCGCTTCGAGTTGAAAATAACTTGACGTTTGCGTATCCAAAATTCTATTGCCTAGATATTCATATCGAGTGTTTGTCTTAATGAGATGAGATGCTTTATTGAATTTAAATTCAGCCTATCATTTTTACTTTCCTCGAAAATATTTTGATTTTTCGATCAGGAGACTTGACAAATTTCACAAAAACTTCAAGTTTGAAGATAAAATAAAGAATAAAGGATTTTGAGTTGATGTGTAAGTTTTGACTAATTAAAATTAAAATATTCAAGATTATTTGGATCAATAAGTTTTTATCACGACATTGGTATTTTAGTGAGTAAAAATGAGATTTGTCTCATCCGTAGTTTTACTGAATTTTCATGGTCACGTGACCTCAATTGTTGCTGATAGACTTGGGGTCAAACCGTGACCTGCTTTCCAACTAATTGTATGAGCTTTTTAGAACAATTAGATATTTTCAATCAATAAATAACAAACATGTATCAATATTTCAGACAGATCTACATCAAAGAGCATTAGAAATTATCACGTTTGTTGGTTGTGGCCTATCAATATTAGGATGTTCTCTTACTCTTATTACTTACTATGCATTCTGGAGGTAAGATGATTGAAAGACTCAATCATACACATGTATTTTGTCCAAATACACTGCAGAAAATAATTGTCTTGCAAATAAATGTGTACCTAAATAAAAAAAAGGTGTGTTTACGATAACAAAAAATGCGTTCAGTCATCAAACAGCCGCCAGCACTAAAAAGTACTTGTCTATTGCTTACGATCGAATGGAATATGATCTGCACGTCTTTTTTATAGAAGTAACAATGGCGTATAAATACGGAGATTTACAATAGCTAACATCAACGTCATTTGAACTTTGGTACATAGCTGCCTCATACGCCGTCATACCACATCTCCTGATTGTATATGAAAACGTTAATGCTTGTTCGCCTTTATACAGACCTCAATATCTTTTACCTTAAAAATATTGATCATTCATTTTCCCAAATCGTAAAGAGATAGATAATTAAATATTAAAATAAAATTTATGTATAACAACGATGTGGCATATGAACTAACTAGAGAGCAATCAGAAGCCTAAAAAGGTATACTGTAAATTCAGAAATTATTGCGTGCATTTATTATTGCAATTTTGTCATTTTGGACTAAAATGCGTTTTTAATTTTTGCGATATTGAGAAAAATCCTGTTTAATTCATATAAAAAATTTCAAAATGCGATTTTAAATTATTGCGATTTTAACCCTGTCGCATTGTTCGCAATAATAAAAACATCGCAATAATTTCTGAATTTACAGTATAAGGTTTAGCAAAAGGTCTTCTAAAAAGATTCTTGGCTACACTACAATTGACTTATGTTCATTTGTTATATACTACTTCAAATCTGTAATCAATATGCAATCCGTTCAAATAGAAATGAAACTTATACTCTAATAAATCGGTGCGTCCGACACGTATGTATGGTTAAATCTGCATTAGAAGTCCTC